ATGCAGTTCTTGCAGGCTTAGAGAAGAATCTTCCCACTGGGTGTCCCTAAATGCCTTGGACAGTAGCTTTTTACATGCAGCATGGTCCAGGAGAAAATGCAAGGACTGAAAACCAGGGGCCAGTGTCCACCGAAAAGCTTAGGACCTGTTCTCTATAATTAGGTCAACCTGGGGTTCCGCTGTTTGAACAGGAGTGAGGGGAGTCTCAATGTGAAACCCTGGGGACCTTCATTGGGGGTTTTCTTGGCTCAGGGGGCATTGGTCTTTCCAGTGGTGCCCTGGCAGATGGGACAGAACCTGGGAAGCCACAGAAGGTCTCTTTTTGTTGGGCTTCCTCCTGTTGGGGCAGTCCTTTTCACAACCATAGCAGGGCTTGGATTTGGCAATTGGCCTGGAGAGCAGTATCTCGGCCTGTCTCTTGTTTCACGTCTGTTGAATTCCTGGTCACTGCTGTGAAAGACCTTTGTAGCCTCTCAGAGAAGATTGCCCAGTCTGACATTCTTCTGTCAGGAGCAGATAGCAATTTCAGGAGTTGATGGAGAATTCCAGGAGCAGCTTGGGAGATAAATCTATTTTTGAGGATAACTTTTCCTTCATTCCTGGAGAGACTTATGAGGGTGTGTTTGGTCAGAGCATTTTAAGCCCTTGAGAAAATACTGTTGGGGTTCTTTTTCCTCCTGATAAACGGGGCTTAGCAAGGCATAGTTTATCAGATTGACCTCGGTTAGCCTCAGCCCTTCCCAGCAGGGCTTGGCCTGGGGACAGGCTTCCTTCCCCACAGAGGCACGTACCTCCTCCTCATCTTCATCTTGGTTTATCTCATTTACAGCATGTCTGTAGGCCACATGATGGGCGTGTCTTGTCCTCATGGCAGTTCTCAAAATTGTCTTTTTCTTTTCTGGATTTAAGGTTTCATTGAAGGTGAGTCACCCCAAATGAGTCTGAAGAGAGAGGTGACTCCCAAAGGTTTAGACACATCTGTCAGGTGCATCTGTGAAACTTTCCGGATGTTGCCTAGCTCAGCATAAGTCAAGGGGTAGGTTCAGCTGTCCTCTGTGATTGGGATGGGGGGGCATCAGGTTAGCAGCTGGGGCTTGGGGCCTGAGTCCAGGATACTTGTCCTGGAGACTTTCTGGGTTTTGGCTTTTCCCTGTTGCAGCCTTGAGATTGGGTCCCTCCTCACTAGCACAAGGGGAAAGGATTGGTCTCAAAGCAGCTAACACAGGAGGCCAGTGGAACACTGAGACACGTGTATTCTGGATGATTTCTGAGACAGAAAACAATTGGACGAGTCATTTCTCCCTACGTCCCTCCTTTTTGCAAAATAGATCTAATTGATGAATGGTGTTGTAATTTAAAGTTGCCCCCGGGGGGCCACTTTTCTTGGTCTTCTAGTGAGTACCCAACCAAGCCCGAGTATAGTGGAAGACAAGAGCCCTTTTCCTCAAACTTTGGGGATGTAACACTCTCCAGTGTTTAAAAAGACTCCAGGGGTGAGCATGGTGCGATGGCTGATTGTCTAGGCCTCATCTAGAGAAAGAGAGAGGCTGAATGTGAGGGTCTCCTTGCTTCTGGGGACTCCTGGCAAAGTCTCCCCCAAGTCCAGGGGTAAAATTGGGTGGGGGGCTTGTCTGGGCCTCCAGCTGCCCTGCTGCAGGTTTTAACATCTCTCCTCCTGCCTTGCACAGTTGAGACAAGATGTCTCCCACACCAGGAGGCCAAATGCAGCCCCCACTTTCTTCTCTGGCCCCTGCCATCATGGAAATTTATCCATAGTTACCAGGCAGGGGTGAAGGCCAGTGTCCATGAGGACACTTCTCTGTTAAGGCACTTGGACTTGGCCTTTGTGACCCTTTTTTGTCCCTGGTAAGAATGATTGCACCGTGTCTCAAATGCAGAGTGCCCAGAAGGCTGTCTCCTGTAAGGGAGCTGCCACGGCTATCAAAGCTCTTCTGCTGCTATGGGAGAGATACAAGTTTTAGAAGAAGAAACAAAATCACCTAACTGGGCAGGGGAGAAAATAAGGAGATAGACAGCGACTTTGTTGCAGTAAGGTAGAGAGTTTTGAGCCTGTACTCAGGGTCTTTTTGCCCAGCCTCCTTGATTACGTGGCGTGCAGGGTGCTCTCTCCCTGCAGAGTTGCAGTAACTCGACTGGCTGTTCTGGACCAAGACCCCTCATTTGGCCCTGCCCCTTTCACTGCCTGTGTGTGCATTCGAGGATGTGTGCTTCTCTGGCCTCCCTGTGCGGTCCAGCAGCTCAGCAGATGAGGTTTATAGCAGAGTTACCTTCAAGGCCAGTTAGTGAAAAGCATTCACGTGCGCTTCAGTGCTGGCGTGGTGAGCATAATAAAGTATTGATGCACTTGTATACAGGTGTGCGTGTGTCCAGATCATGGTGTATATTTTATACACTAACTGGATTTTTAAAAATGATAAAGCCCCTCCCTATTCTTTCCTTTGTGCTTAGCTGGAGGTGGAAGAGGAGGGACTGAACGTGGTCCTGGAGCAGTTGGGCCAGGTGGTCTCATCAGCTCTCTTCCTGTTTCCCCACTCTGGTTTAACTCTTTATTTGCCAGAAACTTCACTGAAGTCCTTTAACTTTCCCTGCCTGTCCCTGATTTTCCCTACCATGCTTTCTCCCCTGCTTCATTCTTTTTCTCTTTCTTTTTGGTGCTGTGTACCACTGATCTGAACCACAGTCTGTGTTCTGTAATCGAAATGACCAATGGCAGTAGTAACTTCAAAGGCAAATAAGCATTGCAATAGAATATCCTAACTCCCCAACAGTTATTCCATAATGGCTCCAGAGCATCTTCATGCAAAGAAGACTCACTCAAATTAGGAGTATGATGGGGAATAGAGCTGTGGCTGGCACAGAGATGCAGGTGGGAGGAAGAGTTGGCCAGGGCATGCCCTGTCCTGGCTGCCATCTGCTAGGTCAGGTGGGGACCAGGGCACAGGTGTTGGAGGAGGGTGGTGATCACAGGGCATGCAGTGATGCAGTGATGACAGCCACAGTCATAGTCACTTCTGCTGCCTGTGGAGTAGGAAAACCCAGGGGTCCCGGCCAGGAGGATGTTGGCACAGGGAGGTGGGGCTCCTTGCCGTTTCCTTCCTCCCACACCATCATGCATCCGCTGGCACACGCACACCATGGTGTGCACCCACTGCTCTGTGCAGGGGCATGGGGCTTGAAGCAGGCACAGTGAGTGGTCGGCAGTATACACCTGCAGGGAGGATGGTATGCCAGGGTAAGAAGAGAGCAGTGCTGTGTGGGCTGGAGTCCTGGCACAGAAAGACGGGCACTGGGATCCTGGCCAGGGATGCTGGAATAGTTCTCCTGACATCTCCAGTGTTCCCACAGTCGCTGGTTGGAGGTCTTACATGGAGTCGGTCTCTTTGTAAACTGCTGTGAAAGAAGAGTAGGTTGTGGTGGAGGCTGGTGAAGGGGCAGGGCAGTCCCTCACATGGCAGGCCCAGGAAAGGAGTTTGGCTCTCTGCTTGGAGCATGAGATTGGCACATTAGGCAGGGATCCAGCACCAAGGCAATGTTGATTAGGGCCTTTCTTTATCTTTGCCAGGGGACTCTGAATTTAAATTCTTGCCACCTGTGAAAGCCAGGGAACAGAAATGATGTGGATGTCTGTCTCAGTTGAGACACAGCTGTTGCTTAGTGCAAGAAGTAGCATCAGAAATGAATGAAGTCTTCACAAGAAAAAACTGCTGTAACAGTCCCTGGTTTGGCGCCTGTGCTTGACACAGCTATGCTTGTGTCTGGAGACAGAAAGTGCTTGTAGGTGGCAGGGCTCCCTTCATCCAGCGGACCCCATGGGAAGGGGTGAGCGGGCTGAATGGCCCTGCACTCACTGTTCTGCTAGGCATGGTGGGTTCCGAGGCTCACATTCACTAGGGCTCACCATATTAAAAGACATTTTAGAAATAAAACTCGTTTTTCAAAAAATGTCAATAGATGGCTGTTCTGTTCTACACAACATCCAAGGCTCCAGAAAAATAGAGGAAATATATCACATAAAGACAGCAACCACAGACATGCTGGTGTAGTCTGCTCTCCCTAAGCATAGTTGGCCCTGCTTTTACAAGATGTACTCAATATATATGGTGAATGCTTAATTAAAAAATGTTTTTTCACAGTAAAGGACACATTAATCCCCTTCAGAATCTGTCTACTTGCTCCAACACATTTATTCCATGGTTCTTGCCACTTTCTGAAGTGGTCTGGAAGTCCTCTTTTGTGTCTTTATGAGGTGTGTTCAAAAATATGGTCAGCGCTGCTGCTGCTGAGATTCATCTAACAGAAAGCAGTCTCCTGAGGACATCAGGTGTCCACCTATTCACTCCATCTGGCTCTTCCCCAAAGTCAAATGACCATGAGAGAGAAATGTTCTGGACTGGGTTGGGAGACCAGTGCAGCTGTGATGGTGCAGCAAAAGATACTCCTGAAAAAGGGTTCAGAAAGTGACAAGAATCACAGGATTGGTGTATCAGAAGCCAGACGTGTTTTGAAGAGGATTAATAGCAATATGTCTACTGTAAATTTTCTTTGCGGGGGGGGGTGGGTACTAGGAATTGAACTCAGGACCTCATGCCTGCCAGGCAGGGGCTATGCCACTGAGCTAAATCTCTGGCCCCTGTAATAAAAACTTTTAAAGTTAAACACTCATTTAAAAAAAATTTTTAATAGTACCAGGGATCGAACTCATGACCACCTGCTTGCAAGGCAGGTGCTTATACCGCTGAGCTAAATCCCCAGCCCTAACACTCATATTTTTTTATTATACCTCATAGACAGAGTCCTTGTGACCATCCCAGCCTTGGGGTTGGGCAGCTTTCTTTTCTGCCTCCCAAGGTGAGCCTCCTTGCAGTGTGAGACTCTTGCCAAGGCTGCAGGCAGAGTCCTGGACTCTTCTCCTGAGAGTGACGTTGGCTACCTTGTGCAGTCGATGGTGACCTGCCTAATGCATACTCTGCCCCCTACAGGCACCTCTGCCGGCCTTGCCACAGCCGTGAGAAGGCCAAGGGCTTGGGCAAGTACATCTGTCAGCGGTGCCACCTGGTCATTGATGAGCAGCCCCTCATGTTCAGGAACGATGCCTACCACCCAGACCACTTCAGCTGTACCCACTGTGGGTAGGTGCTCAGCCCTATCCCTGCGGTCAGGCTGGGTAGAAGCTCAGGGCTGCCACAGAGCAGGGGCAGTGATGTGGCAGGAGGATGTCGGGAGGGTTGTGTGCAGAGCTCCGAGGCAGGATGGAGTGGGGCTGGGAGGTCCTCTCCGCAGAACTCTATTCGGGGACAGACTGCAGGGACCACGGCTGAAATGAAGGACAGGAAAGGGATAGAGGGAGTGGTTGGTGCTGGTGTTGGACAGGGGCAGGGGATAGAGAAGGCTCAGAGCTATCCCCTCGAGTCCCTTTCGTGCCTGTCCCAGACACCCAGTCTGGTTTGGAGGAGGAAGCCGGAGAACAGACCTGCTTCTCAGAGGGCTCGGAGCACAGAACACAGATGCCTGTCTGCTGGCCTGTGTGGGAAGTCTGTGCTCCAGGGCCTGTTTGTGTGCTCACAGGAAGTCTCTAAGGAGGCCAGAGATCAGAGCATGCCACTCACCTTCCCGCCTTCCTGCCTGCCCGCCTGCCTGCCTGCCCAAGTGGCACCTCTCGGCTGGGGCCCTTGGGCTGGAGGGGCTGGAGTGACCCTGCAGAAGGGCACAGTGGCACTTGGGGCTTCTGCTGTCTTCCAGGAAAGAGCTGACTGCTGAGGCCCGAGAGCTGAAGGGTGAGCTCTACTGCTTGCCCTGCCATGACAAGATGGGCGTCCCCATCTGTGGGGCCTGCCGCCGGCCCATCGAGGGCCGTGTGGTCAATGCACTGGGCAAGCAGTGGCATGTGGAGGTGAGCTGGGGAGGGACTCGGGGCTTCAGGTGGGGTTCCTGCCCCTCCGTCACACCTCAGTCCAAGTTGCGCCCTGGCTCCAGCAAGAACCTTTCTATGAGCGCTGCCTCTCCTGGGACCTCAACCTGTCCATGGGAACTTGGGAAACCAGAGCCTGCAGACCAGTCTGGTAGCAGAGCCCATCTTCGCCTTCATGGCTTCATGGCTTTTAGAAGATTTCAGAGTCAGGAGGAAACCTGGGAGGCTGTGGTTGGCCAACTGCTATGCACACGGCCGTGGGTAGACCTGGCGTGGGTGGGCTTCTTGGGTGGGCATGTGGGTTGGCTGGAGCTCTCCCCAGACTGAGCTCCCTTAACACCTGTGTGCACCTGGTATTCTCCAGGGGCCTGGCCATCTCTGTGTCTAGAAGCCACACATTGGTGGCCTGCTTAAGAAGACCCTTCCAGAGGTGGGGGCCCACGATGCCTGCCCCTGACCCTGGAGGAGGCTGTGTCCTCACATGTGGAGCACACATGCTGCTTGGTGACCAGGGCTGTGAGAACACTAGAGGGGATGACCCAACCACAGCAGCACAGCTCCCACCTCGGAGGGCCACTGTGCCCCAGCAGGCAGCTGAGCAGGGAGCCCACGCCAGAGAACACAGTGATATAGGATGTCACCATGGATGCATTCGAGGGGACTGGGGGCTCTTGAGCGCCCCTGCCAGCTGTGAGCCTGCCTGCCCTCTGGCCCATGGCTCCTGGGGTTTCCACCTGGCCCTGACACCTGCCAGCTGCCTTCTGCCCCTGCAGCACTTCGTGTGTGCCAAGTGTGAGAAGCCCTTCCTTGGACACCGGCACTATGAGAAGAAGGGTCTGGCCTACTGTGAGACCCACTACAACCAGGTGGGCGCAGGCTGGGTGCTGCGGAGGGAGCTGGGCTGGGCTGCTGTGTGTGCCAAGCACTGTGGCTTGGCTCAGGATCCCAGGATGTGGGCAGCTCTCTCTACCTGGGAGTCTCACAGGAAAAATGTGCCCTTTGGGCAAGACTTGTGAGGACAAACCAGACGACAGTGCGAATATGGGCTTGTGGGGTGATCCTCCGCCACCCCTCATCCCGCTGCTCTGGTTCAGGAGGTGGAGGGGCTGCCCCAAACCCCACTCTCACAGGACACTAGCAGGAGCAGTCCTGGAGAGCAGAGCCTTGGCACGGGGTCTCCGCAGGGCGGAGCTAGTGAGCCAAGGCTGCACCTAGCAGAGAGGCAGTGCGAGGCCCTGGCTGGGTGTGAAGCGTGCAGCCCACACTGACGGTGTGCTGTGCCCGCAGCTCTTCGGGGATGTCTGCTACAGCTGCAGCCATGTGATTGAGGGCGATGGTGAGCCCCCCATCCTCCCTGCCCATGCGCTCTGCAGCTGTGGGCCCAGCTGGTCTCTACACAGCTGGGCCTGTGCAGGGCCTGCTAAGCCCCCTCTCCCCTCACAGTGGTGTCAGCCCTCAACAAGGCCTGGTGTGTGAACTGCTTCTCCTGCTCCACCTGCAACAGCAAGCTCACCCTCAAGTGAGTCACTGCCTCCCTTTTGGGAGCAGGCCCAGGGGCCCCAGGGCACAGAGAGGGGTGGAAACACACCTGGGAGGGAAGGTCATCTGGCCCAGGGAAAAGCAGGTGCGAAGGAAGTGTGTCAGACAGCAGGCTGTCACTGAGGCCTGCGGAGGCAAGCTGGGAGAGAGGAGCTAGGTAGGACCCAGTATCCAAGGGCAGCGGGGACCCACAGAGGATTCTGGAGCATCAGAGCCTGAGAGGCCAGTAGGAAAGAAGGGTGTCTGGGCCTGGCTTGCTAGCTGGGGGCAGCTCAGAGGGGGGAGGCAGGAGCCTGCTCAGGGTTGGTGGGGCATGGACCGTTGAGCTTCACTGCAGGAACAAGTTCGTGGAGTTTGACATGAAGCCTGTGTGTAAGAAGTGCTACGAGAAGTTCCCGCTGGAGCTGAAGAAGCGGCTGAAGAAGCTGGCGGACCTGGCCTCCCGCAAGGCCCAGCCCAAGCCTGTGGATGTGAATTCTGCCTGAAGGCTCTGGCCTGCTGGTGCCCGATGGCCTGCTTCACCGCCGCCTCCCTCCCGCTTCCTGCTGCCATGCTGCTCCTGTCACTTCTCAGCCGCCTTCCTGCCTCCTCCTTTCTGCCCCATGTTTGCTTCTTCCCTCTGCAGCTTATGGCTTCCTGTCTGTGTGGCAGCTGCTCCACACCTAACAGCCGCTTCCACCTGTCCCCATGAGCATCAGGGACAGCAGCAAATTGGGGCTGGGTGCCCGCTCCTGCTTGAACCACAGCTGCTGCCCACACGTCCTTGCCCGGGGCCTGGTGGCACCACTGTCATGGAAGCGTGGGCCCCAGAGCCTCACACTGTGTGCCTGTGGTGGCCCAGCAGTGGAGGCCTCCAGGAAACCCTCAGCCTGTTGCTGCATGGCCACTTGGATCCCTGCAGCCGCACGGGGCCAGCAAGCCCTGCCATCCTTGCTCATTAGCCAGTTAGAAGGATGACAGCAGCTCCCTCCATCCCCCGCTTCTGAACCCCGACACCCACATGGTACCCCAGGTCCACTGTGCTTGCTCTCTGTGGCACCTCAGGCCGAACTGAGCCTCTGTACAGAGCCCGGGCGGGAGGGATGGGGTCACAGGTGGTGCCCACTTCAAAGTGACCCCGGTGGCCAGTGGGCCCTGGCTGGAGGCTTACACTCACACAATGAAGTCTGATCCACTGCCAGCAGTTGCCCATGTGCTTTGTGGGGGCTATGTGGAACAGGTGGGGTGACTGTGGAGGCTCTGGAGCAGAGCTTGCTCAGATCAGGGGAAAGGCCAGGTGGCAGGTGGGGAGCACAGGGTCCTAGCCTGCCGGTCCATGGAGGCCAGTGTGGAGGTGCATGCTGCAGGGCCCTGTGCTGTGCTCTGCCTGTCGCCACCTCAGAGGAAGCCAGCATCCTTAATGCAGGCAGAGCCCTCGTGTGCCTTCACCTGTAGCAGGAGAGACCTCCTGTCCCTGCACCTCCTGGGAAGAAGAGTGCAGGGCAGCTCTAGGCAGAGCTCTCAGGGAGCCCCTTTCCCCAGGGTGAGAACAAGAAGGGATAGAGGGAGGGTGACAGTGGTGTAGATGCAGCTGTGAAGTCACTCCCAGGACAAACACAGTTGTCACCTGTTTCCATGGAGAAAGTCCTCCCGGGATCTAGGCTCCCTGCTTATCTGGTACCCATCCTGTTCCTCCCTGTCACACTCCTTCATGCCACATAGGTTTTATTGAGCATTCGGGGGAGCCGACCATCGTGATACTGGAAGCCTGAGCCTCCTTTAGGGGGTGGGGCCATGGTCACTGCTCAGGAAGGGGTGTCTGGGAGCTGGGCGGGGTGGAGCTGTGGGAGAGGATGGTGTGGAAGGCTTCATGCAGAGGCCAGGCTTTGAGCTAGTGAGACCCAGGCCAAAGGTGACCAAGTGGGCAGCTGGGGTCCGGCTACTCCTAGAGGACAGCTAGGGCAGTGGCCTGGGAGCCTCGATGCCTGTTCACCACGTTCAGGATCTGCTGTACATAGGAGCTCAGCAGGTCATCCATTTTGTAGCCCTGGACCGGGGAGGGCGGATTCAAAGGCTGTGCCCTGGGAGGGCAGTGGGGTCTTGGGGAAGAGGGAGGCGGCTCCAGTGTTGTCCGCCCTATGTTGCAGAGCCCTCCCAGCCTCCTGCAGGTTGTGCAGGTTAGCCCTGGGTAGTCCACCCCTCAAAGCAAGTAACTCTGGGGGCAGCAAGGGAAGTGGAGAGCCCCCTGCCCCACCCCGTGTGTGAGTGGGCACAGCCAGCTCACCAGAGAGGTCTCACACAGCAGGCGGCTGCCGCGGCCCAGGCTCCCCAGCGCCATGTGGAAGTAGGTGCTGCCGCTGCTCCAGCTGGAGATCTTGGTGAAGGGGTAGGTGGTGAGCAGCTCCTGGGGGCAGAAGGGCAGGTGTGCAGGAGGAGGGCCACAGGCATGCGTGTGGAGGACAGGTGGGAAGGCGGGATGTGCAAGAGCCCTCATCACAGCCTGCACCCGAGCCCAGACCGGCCCTGCTTGGGCCTTGCCGTGTTACCTTGGACTTGGGGTGGATGAGCAGCACCCCATGTCTGTTGATGGCGATGAGGACAATGTCTGGATAGGAGGGCTCCGAGGCTTGCTGCAGGGAGGGGCCGGTGGTTACAGCTGAGTGGCGCCAGGTGGCACTGCCCCTGTTGGCCACCTTCCATATACAACCTGAGACACAAGTAGGCACACACTCCTCCCGAGCCCCCTGCCTCATGTGCCCAGGTCTGGGCCCAGTGGCCTTGTGGGGGTATAGCTTACCTTCACCTCAAAGAAGGCAGAGCCAAAAGTGGGCCAGCGGCAGATGTACTTGAGGAAAGCCACCTTGGCCTCCTGTACTGTCTTGTTGCGGTGCTTATTGCATTCGAGGAGGAGGCTCTGGGGAAGGAGGGGCTGTGAGAACCAGCCAGGGCTGCCCTGCCACCTTGGTAGACAGCACTCACCCAGGGCCGAGTGTGGGGAGGGCAGCACTGTGGGGGAATGAGGTGTGCAGCCACGCCTACCCCAGCAGTGTGCCTGTCATGCCAAGGTGAGAGCCCCCTCCCGAGTCCCCTGAGACCTTTCTCCACTCCTCTGAGGACATCAGACGTGTGAGGTTCTCAGGCACCAGATCCCTCAGGATCTTGGGGACACTCGACAGCTGGGACTGGTCATTGTCAAACTGAGCCTTGTAGATGAGGCCAGCCAGGTGGACGGCATCTTCCCGGGAACACTTGTGGAACCCTCGCAGGTACTTAGGCAGCTCCTGAGCAGTGGACATACTAGGCCTCAGGCTCCAGCCCACCTTGTGGCTTCACGGGAAGGTGTTGGCCCCTATAATCTGGGAGTGTGAGCAGGCCAAAGACTGAAGTCTGTGGGAGCGAGAGCAGGGCTTCCTGGCCTAGTGATATGGGGATTGCATCTACTGTATGTGCACATGGTTGGCCTTCAGGACAAGGCCTGCTCTCTACAGGCAGGCGTGCATCAGGTAGCTGTCTCTGGGTTCAGCACCCTCAGCAGCTGGGCCTGCCTACCTCATGGAACCTGTGGTGGGGCCTGAGCTGGCAGCGCTTCTCCTGTGGCACAGGGGTGGCATGGGTAGGAGTGGCCTTTGGTACCTGGTGGTAATGCAGTATGGTGTCTGCATTCATGTCCTTCCCCGGGACCACATTGAGCCACAGTTTCCGCATGAAGTACACCTGATAGGGGAGCGTTGCCGCGGCCCCTGAATGAGGAGCAGAGGTGGGTGCCATGCCTGTTCTGCAGGCCCCACAGCAACTCCTGCCCGCTCCCTGGCCTGCTCTCTTGGCCTCCCTGCTCCTCCAGCTCCTCTGCATTCTTCAAGACTAGAGCAGCGACCACTTCCTCCTGAATGCTCCTGCACCTCCTACAAGGATGGGCCCTGGGCATCCTTATCACCCTGGGCCACAGCCACCCACGTGCTTGGGAACATACAGGCAGGGTGTGAAGGATGTGCCAGGAGTCGGACAGCCCCACCCTATTCCTCCTCCCCCCACCCACACAGACCCCGCACCTTCTTTCTGGGGCTTGTTCCTTCTCACCCAGTCAGACACCTGCCTCAGGGAGTCAAAGAAGAAATCTCCTTCCTTCTGGCTGATGACCTGGGACGGGAAGGGACAGAGACTGGCAGATGGGGCAGCTTCCAGGGACAACCCTTTGGGGCTCAAGTTCAGCAGCCATGCATGATAGCCCGGTAGGTAGGGCTCAGTTTGGGTCAGAATGGGATTGCTGATGGCTGTGGTATAGGGGGTGCAGGGGTGGGCTATGAGATCCCCACTTTGTCCCGATAGCCCCAGCTGTGCTGAATGGGCTGAGATCCACCTGGAGTCTCTCCAGCCCCTGGCCCACTGGCTGTGTACCTTGTCTGCAATCTTGATGAAGAGACTGCAGCCTTCCCAGGAGGCCAGCTGCAGCTTGGTGGCAATGGCCTCACACACTTCTCGCACTCGGTGGTTGGTTCCCACCTCCAGCATCTGGGCAGAGAGTGGCTGGTGAGGCCCTGAGCCAGAAGGGGCCAGACCATGCCTGGAGGCTGTCTGGGACTTCACAGCTCTGTGCTCCTGTGTGACCCTGTGGCTAGTGCTGTAGACGGTGGACCCTCCCTTCACAAAGCTGCCCGATGGCCATGTTGCTGTCACAGGCCCTTGGACCTACCTAGGAGCCCTGCCCTTGGAGCTTGCTTTAAGAGCCCTGCAGCCAGACTAGAAACTTCCCTTAGAGAGACTCGACTGTCCCCAAGGCTGGGGAGGGCCTGAGGGCAACACAGGGCCCTGCCTGCCACAGTCCCTTTGGCCCTGCCATTCTTTACTGTCTACTCTCAGTCACAGACTTTGGTCACCCACCTCTGCCCTGGGACACATCTGACCTGGGCACTTGCTCACTATTGTCCCTGAATGGACCAAAGTCCCTCGTGCACCCAAACTCTGGGACTCCACCTTGCTGCCCATACTTTTAGCCTCCTCACCTCTGGCATGGCTGCCTTTGGAACAGTCATTGCAGTCTTCCCTCAGTCTCACCCTCTGCCTCTGCCCCCTGGGGGTGGGTGCAGGAAGAGCACAAGGAGCATGGCTCTGCTTGGGTGACCTGGGAGTGGGCGAGGCGGGGGTGAGGCTGCTGTGAGCATCAGTGAGGGACTCACCTCACTGGTGTCGTTGGGGAGGTAGATCTTGTGGCAGATTCGGGAGATGTTCTTCTCAGTGGCTTCCACCTCGACTTGGTGCGGGGGCTGCTTCCGGGGCCCTGTCCTGAGTAGGAAAGTGCTCCATGAAGATGCTCCCTTCCTTCTGTGCCCTGCCCCTGCCCCTGCCTCCACGGGGCCCTAAGCCAGATGCCAGAAGCGAGAACCCCAAGTGCAGGGGCTGGGGGGAGCCACACCAGTTTTCCAGGGGCTGCCCTGCAGGCCGAAAGGGCCTGGCAGGTGCCTTAGAACAGCCCCTGAAGGCCTGGTGTCAGGGTGCCTGTGCGAGGGAGCACTGGTGCAGGGCAGGGTGAGGACTCCAGCAGGGATTCTTGGAAAGTGCCTGCCTCCCACCGTGGGCACGGCTGCCACAGACCTGAGACCACATGGGCATCTCCCTAACCCTAGCCGCAGGGTGACTCAGACTCCTCAGGAAAAGCCTCTGCCTGTGGTGGGATGGGAGATGGCGGGTGGACTGGAGGGGTAACCCCTTGGGCTTGGCCCCCTGGACCCCAGGCATTGCTCTGTCCCTGGGTGGGTGGTGGGGGACAGAGGCACTGCAGGCATGGTGCCTTTTGTTGAGCCTGCCAAAGCCGCCCTGTCTGCCCATCTGGGTCCTTGCTTTCCTCTCTTCCCCTAATGGCTCAGGGCCTGGTTCTGCCTGTGAACTGAAGTCAGTTTCTAAAAAGAATGTGAGTCTACATGCTGCAGTCTCAGCCTGCATCATGAGGTCCTGGGGCACTGGGCAGGATCTGAGTGGTCCTCAGAGGAAGAGGCAATGGGCTCACCTCAGCACCACCTGGATGCGGCGGCTGCAGTCGGAAGCCAGCTTCTTCCTCCTCCGAGTGTCTATGAACTTCTGGGCATGGGGCAGCAGCGCCTTGCCAGGGGGGAAGAGGCCAGTGCAGAGCCACAGCAGCTGCCATCCCCGCTCCTCACTGTGCCTGCAGGGTCAGTAGGAGGAGAGCCTTCTGGGGACTGGGCCAGGCAGGGGCCAACAGAAGCAGCTATGTGATGTGAGTCTGCCTGGGGTGTAGCTGAGGGAGGGGCAGAGGGACACTCGCCTGCCACCGACCACCACTAGGGCCGGTGCACCCTGGGGGCGAGGTGGGCTTCCACTTTGCTTGTTTTGTGGACCCTGAGGCTCGCAGAGGCCAAAGCCTGCCTAGATTGCACGTAGAGGGAGGAGCCGGCAGGGCCAGGGTAGGACTGCTCTGGGATGACAGCCCCAGGACATGAAGAGAGCAGGCCAGAGCTGCCACCTCTCCACTGTCACCACCAAGAGCCATGTCTGCCCTGCTATCCCCCAGACCTGTTGGCATTGTGGGTCAGCTGCTTGAGGATCTGGCAGTAGACCTCATCCTGCAGGGCTGGTTCCTGCAGGGCCGATGAGAAGATCTGGTCCGTGAGCTGCAGAGTGGACCAGGCCTGCCGAGAGGGGTAGTCACCTGTATACTTGAGGATGGGTGCAGCTGTCAAAGACGATAGGGTCAAAGTACTAGGGCCCTAGGCTGAGCCCTGACTAGGGCTAGACAGTGACCCTGACCCATGCTGCCCCCCAACACTGACCCACTGATGCCCAGTGCTGCTCCCACACTGATCCCTGGCCTGGCCCATGCTGAGCCATGTGTGTGCACTGGCTCTGCCCTGTGCTCTGTCCAGTGAGACCTGGCCCTCCACAGGCCAGCTGTGAGCACAGGCCAGCAATGCCTGTGCTCAAGGCTGGTGGGCAAGGCAGGCAGTTGGTAAGGAAGGATATCAAGGAAGATCTGGCAGGCAATGTCCCGCAGGTCAGCTTTGTCATGGACTTGCTTGAGCAGCGGCTGCCGCAGCGGCTCCAAGGAGTAGGACCACAGGTGACCCCGAGTGCGGGCCAGGGGCATCATGGCTCTGCTGATGGTCTCCTTCTCTGGGGCCCTGCAGAGAGGCAGGCGGGCATGAGGGCTGTGCTGCCCTCAGTTGCTGTGTGACTTCCAGGGTGGCTATGGGGGCACCACAGTGTCACACCCTGCCATGAGCCCCTGCTGGCTCTGCCTCAGCCTGGGGAGTGTGGCAGGCCCACACCAGCCCTATGGCCTCCTTGCAGCACTCAGGGGTGGAAAGGTACCTGAAGAACTTGTAGGAGAACTCCTCCAGAGTATGCGGCTTCTCCTTGGGCTGCTCCTCAGGCAGCAGCTCTGAGGGCCCCTCCTGGGCCACCAGCTTCCTCTTCTCCGGTGACATGGCCAGCAAACTCTGCAGGGGCACAGGCCTGTGGGCACCCAGCAGCCACTCCCACAAGGCCCTTTCTGTAAGTTACCCTGGCCTGGCTGCTGTGGTAGGAGGTCAGGCAGCAGCCTGGGTTAGCCTTGGCTACCTCTGCTGCGCCTGTGCATGACCCAGAGAGGGGATGAGGCCCCTCTTGGTCTCTTTCCATTGTGCCAATGGCTGTGGAGCCAGGCCCATTCCATTCTCAGTGGGCGGCACTCAGGGCCTTTCCCTAGGGAGTGCTCCTCAGGGATACCTCTTAATGTTCTGCAGGCCTGAGCCACAAATCACCTCCTCAGGGATGCCCTTCAGATAGAGAGAGCCCCACCCTATGTTTGTTCCCATAACAATCTACTTGCTGTCCCTTTTTCTGCACCCTCCCTGAAGGCTGGAGCTGCTGCCAACTTCATCCCTGTACTGTAGGCACAGGGCACAGACTGGGCGCTCAACATGTGTGTGTTAAAAGGCCAGGCTGAAAGGCTGCTTTAGGTTCCTGCCAGTGGTTCTTAGGGTGGAAGCAGCCTCGGGCTCAATGGGATCACAGGCTCATTTAAAACCCAGGCAGAGGCACTTAGTTCACAGTGTATACCCACAGCAGGAGAGGGGTGGCAGGCTGCATTTGCAAGGTACCTCCTAAGTGCCAGTGCATGATTCTATACAAACACCATGCCTGCTTCAGTGCAATCCAGGAGGCAGGCCGGGCAGGGGCCCACACCCTTTGAGGTGAACACAGACTGATAGGCAAGGCCCCTAGGCTGGGTGCTGGCCGTGCCCTCTGTGTCCAGCTGGGTAGAGGTGAATGTGTGACTCACCAGCAGCTGGGCGGAGGGCTTGACCACCGTGGGGATGGCATAGAGGCAGGCCGTAGGCACGAGCCCTGTCTTGCCTGTCCTATCGTTCTGAGCCAACGTCCAGTTCTCAGAGGTCAGCAGTCCTTGCTTCTTGGTCAGGACCAGCAAGTCCCCCTTCTTGAAGGGCAGGAGGGTGACATCGTCTGCAGGTCCAGACCACACATACAGGAACAAAAAAGCCAGTGTTGAGGGCTCTGCAGGGACCTGAGGCTATGCTGGCTTTCATGGGTATCACCCTAACCAGCTGAGGAAACTGAGTCACAGAGCATGGCTTCAAGGCCACTTGGGAGTGAGTTTTGCCTGTCACTGCTGCCCTCTGAGCGCTGACCTGGGCCCTGAGCCAGGCCTGCAAGGGGTGAGTGGGGAGAGGCTGCAGAATGGATATAGAAGCCGTCCTCCCTCTGGGCCATGGTGAGGCCTGAGCACATGCCATCTCTTACTGCATCCCTGACCCATGCTTCTGCGAGCAGGACTGGCTTGGGAGAGTTTGAGGCAGCCTCCTGCAGCACTGTCACTTCTGGTTTGTGGGATAATGCAAGGCAAGGCTTTGCTCAATACCAGTCCCCAGGGTGTGGGGACCCAACCCCCCTTCCCCATGCTTGGTCTCCCAGCCTACTCTGCACCATGTTCCTGCAATGGCGAAGCTGGGCCAGTGCCTCTCTCTGGCCCTGGGATGGCTCCCCAGTGGGCACCTGTGGCCTTCTGGTCCTGCAGGGCCATGGCGAACACGGACCTCTCCTTCAGGCCCTCCAGAAACAGTGCCACCAGCTCGGTGATGGCCACACTGCTGGGGGTGGTGAACTCGTACTCTTCTCCATGCAGGGTGGAGAGCAGCAGCCTCTGCCCACCCCAGGCCTCCCTGTGGGGATGGAGAGCATGGGATGAGGAGCAGCCTCCTTGCCTTTTCTCCGGCTCAGCCCCTCGATGGCCAGAAGGGTGGCCCTCTAGAGTGACAGCCATGAGGTAGCTTCTGTGGAGCACTGGAGGGCCAGAGTCTGCACCCAGGTTGGCCCCAGCTGCAGACAGCAGTGTAGGCAGTGATAAAGTGACCACCAGTGCTCAGGTCCCAAGAGTGTAGGCACTGCAAGGAATGCTGTGCCGCAGTAAGGGGCTGTCTCTGCTGTGAGGGTCTCCCAGGAACCCTGGCCAGCAACCTGGCCTCTGAGCGCCTCACTTTCCTCCCTGGTAGAGTAGACAATGCTGTGTGGACTTCATGGCAACCAGGTGACCAGCACGGTCAGCCTCACTAGATGGCAGCCAGTGTGCTCTAGGCCACCCGCTCATGGTGACAGTTACAGAAGTCACGCCACACAGGTAGGTGGGCCCTAACCCAGGAGTGTTCTAGTAGTACGAAGTGGGACTTCTTGAAGGGCTTGGAAGAGTCTCAGGAGCCAGGACAGCCCTGGTGCTGGCATTTAGAAGGCTCTCTGGGCCCCTCAGATATGACCCATTTGTCCTTCATGGCCAGCTCTCACCCATGAGCAGGGAAGGAGCCTGTTAAGTGACTTTCTGCCAGAGTTCTGGCAAGCTCGTCACCTTCCTCATGGGGCTGGGTTTTGAGGAGAAGCAGAGGTGTGGTTGGTGTATTGATCAGGCAGTGTGGCCGGAATGGGGTGGGGTGGCGCATGTCTCCAAGTCCAGTGGCTACTGTCTGTCCACCCAGCCAGCTTCTGGGGATGTTGCTCTTGTCCTGTCTCTCCCAAAGACTCAGTTTGTGAAGCAAGTGAGAAAAGGGAAGGGACCTTCACCTGTCAGTGACCAGACTTGTGATCTCTGGGAAGGAGAGTTCCAGCACTGTCCTCTCTCGCTGGTCCAGGAAGTTTATCCCCTTCCAGTTAACGGCCAAGACCAGCTGTGTCTTGGGGAGCCGGGGCCCTGGCCAAGGAGACCAGAGTGAGGGCTGTGCTGGCCCCTGGAGGCCCAGCTCATGCTCACCCTGCTCCAGCACAGCCATTACCAGAGAGCGTGGTGACTTCGAAGAGCCGAGAGAAGAGCAGTGGCCACTGCAGGCGGGCAGTGTCCACCACCTGCTGCCGTACCTCCAGTGCCGTAGCTCCCGTCTTGGTGTACGGGGCCTGTGGGAGGATCATGGAGTCATTGCTGTCACCCTGCCTCCTGGGGCTACTCCCTTGCTGTGTCGGGTGATTATGCCACCATTTTGTGAAGCCTCTCCCTTAGCAAAGGCCAGTGCCTGGCATTGGTTACTCTGGGGATGTTCTGGGGCTGGGCCAACCCTACTGGGTCTTGGGAGAGACCCCTTCAAAAGGCACCTGCAGAAGGGTAGCAGTCCTCCTCGCTAGCAGCAGAGTGCCAGAGGCTTTGGGCTCGGCCGTCACCAGCTGTGCTTCAGCATGGAAGGCTCTGCCTGTCCACGAGCCCGTGTGCCTTAGGTCCCAGCCTGGGCCTTGGAATGATTTGGATCTTAGATACCATGGATCCCAAAGCCATGGTGCTATTAGGAGGTGGTGGCAGCTTAGGAGATGGGGCCTGGTGAAAGGAAGCCAGGTCACTGGACTGTGCCCACGAAGGGATATTACCCTCACCCCTTTCCTGGCTGCCCTGAGGTAGTGGCTTTGCTGCACCCCATGGTCCTTGCCATGATATTCTGGCTCGCCCTAAAACAAAGCTAACTGACCATGGACTGAGCCCTCTGAAATGTGAGACAAATAATCTTTCCTCTTCTCTAGTGTTATGACATAGTGGTGGAAACCTGACCAATGCAGGCTTGCTCTTGCCAGCACATATCCGTGGCTCCAGCTCCATGCATGAGACCATCTTACTGTGTGACCCTGAGTCCTGGGAATTCTTTTTTCCTCTCTGGTTCTTAGACATATTTGAGGGCCCCTTGCAGGGCCTCCCTTTACACCTCCTCTCCAGTTCTCTCCTTCTTCTGGCTTGCCTCCTTCCTCCTCTGCCCCCTTTTCTCCCGCCTCCATAGCATGGTGTCCATACCAAGCTTTCCTTTCCCCCCTTTGTTGGAGCAGATGTTATTACCTACTTTAAAAATAGCTTTGGGGATATAAATGGATGCATCTTATCTGAAGAGTGATTTGGCCAGATGCCCTGTGTACTAGACATTTAGGGTGTCCCCTTACTGACTTGTCTCCAGGAGAGGACATGGAGAGGCCTGGGGACAGGAAGGGATCTCATGGGGGCAGCACTGTCTTCAGGTCATGGAATGGCAGCAGTTGGCCCTTTGGGCAGAGAAGCCAGGCCCAGCAGTGCTAAAGTACAGACTGGCCTAGAGCCCACTGGCGATGCCACTGGGAAAGAGGGTAGGTGGCAGAGCCTGTGCTTAGGACTGAACTGAGAAAGACTGTAGGCCCACGGTCAGGGCTGCCCTGTCAGTTTAAGCTCTCCTGTTCTTCAGGGGCCAAGGAATCCATCCGTAGGGCCCTGCCACTTTGTGGGCAGGCTCAGAGCTGACCTTGGCTTGGGCAGCAGTGACAAGGCTAGTCCACTTCTCTGGGGTCTTGGTCTTGTACAGCTTGGGGGGGATGCAGCTAGGCAGCAGATCCTGGATAGCATTGCTCCCTGATGAGGCACCGAGCTGTACATGGCAGTGCCGGGCCAGCAGCTCGATTAGCTCCTCCTCCTGCAAAATGGGGACACATGGGAGAAGGAAAGCCAGTGAGGGTCCCCTTTGAACTCCTGCCCCACTGCCAACTCCTGTCCCCCGCAGTGCAGCTGACCAGAAGCTCAAGAAGACTGGGCAGCAGGAGCAGCCACCTCCTCTTGTCACCTCTTTTAGGCAGGACCAGTACCATGTGCCCAACTGCATCCCCACAGGCCCTGTTGGCACCGGGGGATTCTGGGCATCAGTGACCTCTGCTGAACACAAGCGGGCTCCTGAGAGCCCCGGCATCACTGCTGTGCAGAGTGCAGTTGGACAAGGCCTGATGCTGCCTTGGCTCTAGTCTTGCCTCACCCTGGAGACCAGTGACCACCACTGCAGGCCTTCAGTGGGGACCCTGGAAGCCCCTGGCTTGGCTGTTCCCTGCCTGTGCCCCTTCCAGACATGCTCCCAGGACTGCAGTGGCTGCCTCGCTTCCCCAGGAAGTGCCCTTCAGACTGCATCTGCCACTCACTAGACTTAATTGCCTCGTCACTGTCCCTTATTCTCCGTTCTCACAACCTCTTGGCACTCAATGCACCCATGTGTGGGCCCAGGGGTGGGGCAGTGACAGGACTTCCAAGTGTGCACTTCCAGGGAGACACAGAGTAGGACCTGGACTTTGGCACCTGGGCTCCAGGGCCTGCTGCTTCATAGCCGGTCACTGAGTGAGACCACATGGACCAGGGCTGACTAAGGTGGGGAGGCCTCCCCTGCCTCTGCTGCAGGTACTGAGGCCTCAGATGTTGAGCAAGCCTTTGGCCCAGGGGAGGAGGTTGGGGAGGCCGGAATGGCCCAGAAGGTAGCTCCTCCTTGGGTTTCTCACCTTCTCAAAGCTGTACTCGCCAGACCAGACTCCATGGAGGACTTGGCGGTAGATGAGCTTGGTGCTGATGGGGTCCTCCTGGCTGTCATGCCAGGGGGTGAAGAACTCCTTCCGGAAGTAGATGCGCCAGGGCGACTGGCGCTGGCTCTCACCCCGCTCCTGGGCCAGCTGTTCACACTGAGCCACGGCGTCCATCACATGGTCTCGCCCACTGCCCAGGGACCAGAACTGAGGACAGAATTGGGCAGCTGGGGTGAGCTGCTGCTGTGGGCCACACCCCAGGGACAGCCACTCTCAGCCAGACCACCTCTATCATCATGGGCTGGGAGGGCCACAGCCTGCCCAACAGTCCCTCCCGAGGCAGCAACAATCCATGCTGGCTGTGTCACCTGGGCTGTGTGCCTCGATATCTGCTCAATACCTTGTCATACACGGCAACCTGGAGGGAAAAGCCCAGGTGGTCGGTGAGGTCCTGCTTCTGGGCTATGTGCAGGCAGACTTCCCGTGATGTGGAGGCTGAGTCCACCATGACGGTCAGGTTCTGTCCCGTCACCAGAATCACTTGGATGGGGATGTGCTTCTTGGACTTGACGGCCTAAGAGCAGACGAAGATGCAGAATCCTCTGGCTAGAGGCCCTGGCTGACTGTCTTGGATCCACGAGGCCTGTCCACTATTCCCCTGTCCACAGGCCCCTGGCTTGCCCATTCTCCTGGGGCCCTGCGGCAGGACTTCCCAAAGCCACAGGTGGCCGCAGCTCAGCAAGTAGTTATCTAAGTTCAGGCCCACAGCTGGCCAGGGGCAAAAACAGTGCTGCCACCCCCATCTGGGGTTTTTGAGCTTCCTCAAGTTTGCCTTGGCCTCCCTCGGGCCCCCAGGCTGCAGTGGTCCTATTTTCAGAAGAAAACTCTGCTTGGTGAGGTTAAGTGACTTAGACACACATGAGACAACTCTTTGAGAATTTTCGGTCCTGGGCTCCTGTGTACAGCACCGTGTGAATATTCCTAGCCACTATGAGTTTACCTACAGTTCCACGATTTGTGGGAGGAACCCTTGAGGCACTGGGACACGGGCAAGGGCAGGATGGGGTTCTCTGGAGGTGATCTTTAGACCCTAGTTCAGGGCACCACAGGGCCACATGTATCTTCTAGGCTTGGGCTAGGACCAAAGATGTGGGTAGAGTCATCCCCCCAAGGTGCCCTCCACCTTGGCTATTCGAGGAGCCCTTCTGGAACTGGCAGCTGTCCCAGCTGTCAAAGCAGAAAAAGGCACTTGTTCCCAGAAGCAACACACCAGGGAAGACACCCCTGCTAGGACCTCTGTCCTCCTGACAAGTCAGGTGCCTCCGGAGGGTAACCTCGAAGCCATCGGCATCAGTCACACCATCCTGCTAAGTGGATGTGTCAGGCTCACTTCCCTCCATCCAGGAGCACAGACAGGGTGGTTGGTTCAGATAGGACCAGGCGGAGCCCCAGGGTTCAAGGGACCTTAGCACAGAAGATGCTTTGGAGGAGATGAGGAGCACTGAGGACAGGTCACCCGACTAGCTGTACCATTCCACGCTGCCCACCACTACCCCTGCCAGTTCTTACCTGTAGCTCCAGCCAGGTGGGTGGCTCCATGCGCACCCCATTAGCACAGGTGCGCTGCAGGCGCTCTGCACAGAAGGGCCCATAGCTGGCTGGCCCACGGTTAATAAAATTCAGCAGGTACTGGGGTGCAAAAGAAAAAGGGGGAGACACTCAGAATGGAGGCAGATTTCTACTTTCTGCCCAGACAGGTTTTAAAAAGATCACTTTCAGTTTGTAAAGGTGCATTTGGATGGGCATTCTCCATTCACTGTGAGACAGAATACAAAAAAATGGTACTTTTTTTTTCATAAAGGGTTTTACTATGTAGTTTAGGCTGGTCTTGAATTCATTATGTAGCCCAGGCTACCTCTGATGATCCTCCTGCCTCAGCCTCCTGAGTACTGGAGCTGTAGGTGAATGCCATCATGCCCATATATAATTAGGTACATTTCAGAGGCACAGCTGGGCAATATATTTTAAACAGTGCATAGTTTAAAAATATGCGCACTATTTGATCTCATTATTCAAACCCTTCCAAAGAGCAAAAATATACTTTTTTTTTGGTTGCGGTGGTTGGTATCTGTGGTGATGAGCAATCAGAAGCTGGACCTTAAATATCCACATCAACTTCATACCTTCCAGGCCTGCCTGAGACACTGAATCTGCACTGGGGGAGCTCGCACCAGGAGGAAGATCATGGAGACAAGTAGGGAAAATGCAGGAGAGCTGATGTCCAAAATACGTTAGATTAAAGGTGTTGAAAATAGGGGCTGAGGGGCTGGGGATTTAGCTCAGCGGCATAAGCGCCTGCCTTGCAAGCAGGTGGTCGTGAGTTTGATCCCCGGTACCGATAAAAATGAAAAAGACAAAAAAAAAAAAAATCATTTCATCTCCTGGATGTGAGGGAGACATGCTAGGAGGGTTTATTGGTGGCAGAAGTGGCCCAAGCGCCTAGGACGGATGGTCGAGTGACCACGTTCCTACTGTCGCCACAGGGACTCACGAGTGTTTCCTGTGTGACCAGAGGTATGACACCAACAAGAAACCAGAAGCAAATATTAACTCGAGTCACTGTGGATATGACTTTCATTTTCTTTTTAGATGTTCTACACTCCCATATACTGCTTTTATCATCAAAACTGAACGGTATATTCAGGCAGCAAAGCCTAGGACCTCAAATACTTGGAAGCTCCTGCCCATATGCCTGCATTTTCAGTCCTAGGAGTAAGAGGTACTGCAGACCAGGCCCAGCAGGAGCCCCATCCTGGACACAAGGTGCATGTTACCTGCCTTAAAGCCACTATTGCTCCTGAGCCCCTGCAGACTCTGGCTAGGGAAGGGACCAGGCAAAGTGCTGTGAACTGAGGAAACCGAGGCCCAGAGGAGGGCAAGTGCTGCTGCCACAGCCTGCAGGTGTGGAGAACTGAGTGGTGGGCCAAGATTTCTGGTCCTGCTGCAACCCACCCAGCCCCGGCTGGCCTACCTTCAGGAACCGCTCAGAGGGTGGGAAACAGCCCAGGCAGAGGCTGAGCAGGATCCAGCCCCGTGCCTGGCTGCTCGATTTAGGGTTCTCCAAGAGCTGCTTGCAGATCTGGCAGTAAATCTCATCCCTGGAGGACATAGGGCAGAAGGTGGACTGGAGCTGGCTCTGGGTAGGTGACACTCGTCACTCAGCTCTCCCCAGCCTCCTCTGGGGCTGTGAGCTTTGCGTCCTGCTCCTTCCAGCTCCCATTTCCCAGCTCATGGAGGCTGTGGCCCAGGCACCTCATCCCCCCAGCAGCCTTTCTGCCCTGCTTCTTAAGTTGAGCTGCTCCTTTCCACACCCTGCAGTTATTGCAGTTATTTCTCTCTCCCCAGTGGCCATGCTCCCTTTCCTAAAGATAGCCCTAGCTCTGCAGAGGGACAGGGAGTCTCATGGGAGAACCCTCTCCCCACTGTGTCCCCTCCCCACAGGCTCAGGAGCCTTCCCTCATGTCCTCTTAGGGAGGGGCTCTCCCAGAGCCTTCCCCAGCCTCTAGTCCCCTCATACCAGAAGCCAGTACCTCCCCCAGTATGCAGTGCTGTAATGGCAAATGTCTACCCACCAATTTTCCCAGCCTCTCTGCATTTGCTGTCTTCTGTGATGTGACTGTTCCCACTGAGACCAATTTGAAATTGCCACTGTGATATTTCCAAACATCGAGTCGGAAAGAGATGTATACAACTAGCTCTCGAGAGACGGTAAGGGCTGGGTCTAGCACCCTACTCTCTCTGCAGTCTACAGACACCCATCAACCACATACCCCTCCTGGAAATCTGGGGATCACCCTAACTCCTCCCATCCCCGCATCTTCCAAGCCCCATTAGCCATCACGTCCAACCACCTGTCTCCCAGGGTCTTTCCTGTTCTCCAAGGCATTCCTCATAAGCTGCCTCTAGACCACTGTCACAGCCTCTTAGTCTTCTTAGCCTCTCGTGCCAGGCTCTACTCTCCCATCATTGCTGGAGAGGAAATTGTGTATGATTATGATCTTCTGCTTAAAACTTCCCCCACTGCCCTTAGAAAGGAACCCAGACTCCACGCCTTAGTTGTGATAAACCCACTTAGAACTTCAGACCCTTATGGCTGTTTGAAGGCTCTGAGACCTATTCATCCCGCCTGATGAACACCCCTGCTCCTTTCTACCCTGCCCAGGAGGGCATTAAGCCCACTCCTTTTTATATCCCCACTAGTTCCAAGAAGACCCTAGCCCGAGCACATTTTCTTGGGAGTTTCTTGGTCCTTTTATGGTCCCATTCTTGGTTTAGACAAATGCCCCAAAGGTCCATGTATTAAGGAGATGGTTGTTGCCTGTGACAGTACTGAGAAGTGGTGGTACCTTTAGGAGGTGGCAACCTAGAGGAAAGAAGTTTTGCCACTGGGTCTGGGAGCTTGAAGGTCGTACTGAGAACCTGCTTCCTGACTCTCTCTGCTTTTGTTTCCTGACCACCATGAAGTAAGCAGCTTCCTTTTCCATGTACTTCAGCTATGATCGACCACAGGCCCAAAGCAATAGGATCAAGTGAGCATGGACCCAAACTCCTAAAACTGGGAGCCAAAACAAATCTTTCTTACTTATAAATTGATTGCCATAGTAGTGGAAAGTTGAGTAACACAGCCCTCAACTGAAGAGTGAGTTCTCTGAGAACAGAGGCATATTTTCTTTAACTCTGCATCCCCAAGACTCAGGCCAGAGCCTCACCCTGAGCAAGGATGTATGAGACGTATCAAATGTGTGGCAGATGTGGAACAGAGCATTTGTTTTACCTTAGAATTTGGTTAAGACCTCAGATCCAAGGACAAAAGGATGGTAAATACCCAGCATTCTAAAGAGGCACATTCTTGTAGGATTTCCTAAAAGCTGGCAGAACCAGTCCACCACCATGCCACTTCTAGCCAGGAATACGGAAGGTGACTCCTGGAAAGGACTTCCTGGGACAGAGATCTGTGGCCTGTTCTCACTACTTCAAGTGATGGAAGAGTGAGGGGACTCAGAGAGAGCTGCTGTTAGGATGGGGCTGCCTTCCAGAGATAAGCATCTCCCTCCCAGCTAAAGCATGCTGAGCTTCACAGCCTACTGCCTCCCACTGGGTCCCAGTCTCGGCTGCTTCCATGGAGCGTGGTGAAAGAGTCTTCCAAGATCTTGCCCTGTTGTTCCTCTAGCTGAGGACCTCTATGAGCAAAAAGACTAAGGACTGGTTCATTCTAGCAAGTCCTGAGCCCATCAGAAGAGGCAAGGTTTCCGAGCCACGCTGTGTAGAGGGACACACGAGAGCGTGACAGGAAAATGCAGTGGAAAGAGCCGACATCCGAGCATTTGGTGGGGTCTCACACAAGGAGGCATCCCTTATTCCTGGAAAGTCGGCAGCAAAAGGCTGCAGGATGCTTGCCTGGGGTCAGAGTCAACAGGAGATCTGGGAGATTGGTGAAGTTGACTCATTCCTGGCCAGATGCCAGCTCTGAGTGGCATCTACTGCCTGTAGAGGCATCTGGAGAACGCATGATGTACCTCATTTGGATGTAGCTTTTTGGAGGTGGAGGCTGGTAAGTATCAACATGAGGGAAACTAGCAGCAGACCAGCTGGGTCAGAGCACTCGCCCAGTGGGGGAGGGGTGATGCAGGCTAGCACTTGGGTAGAGGGCCTGTTGTCGTTCCGCTTTGAAGGAGCAGAGGGCAGAGTCTGGGGTATCCCCAGAAGCATGAGTGTGAGAAAGGTAATGCCACAATAAAGAACACCAGGGAAGAGTGTTACATTTTGCATATAAAAATATATGTACTTCCTGAACGGAACATGGCACCCTTATCTGTGTCTGAGGAGGCAGACTGCGCAGCTTACCTCACTGCCTGCTGCTCACTATGGGAAAGACACACCTGAATTCAACTGAATTAACTGTCTGCTAAGACAAAATTTAACACTCCTTGAAAGAACATAACACAATTCAGAGTCTCTATCATCCCAATGTCCAGGACACTGTCCGAAAGATTGATTTATGAGGAAACAGGAAAACATGCAGCCAGCGGAGACTGACTCTGGTATGACCCAGAAGTCAAAGTTTCAGAAAAGACTAAAAACTACCACAACTATGCTCAAAGGACATAAGGAAACCTACACACACAACAAATGAACAAATAGGGAATCTTGGTAGATAAACATAAATATAAATGTGCAGGAGAAACATAATAATGCAGGTATAACAAGTTATATACCTGATATTAAAGCTTATTCAATGGGAACAGCAGTAGATTGAGGAAGACCGACCAGTAAATTTGAAGATAGCTTTATGGAAACTATCTAATCTAAAGAATAGAGGTAAAAAAGAGAGGAAAGATGAACAGATTCCTAGAGATCTATAGGACAGTCACATAAAGCTTTATTTAGATTTAATTAGAACTTATTTAGGTTTAATTAGAATTTATTTAACTAGAATTTAAGGGGTTGGGAGAGAGGAGAGAAAGAGAATAATTGAAGAAACAGTGGCCAACATTTTCCATTTGGTTAAAAATTATAAAACAAATTCTTCCCTAAAATACTGTAGTCTTTCCCATAAAATAGTATACTTTTTCTTAGAATTTGCATAAAATTATAACTTGTAAAACAAACAGCATATAGAATATATATGTAATATAAACAGGGAACTTGCTCATTTTCAGAGTCCTGCACTAAAGCCAAGGTGATAAATCTGTTTTCCTAAAACTGGGTTCCCGCATGGGTTTTCTTAACACATGCGAGTAGAGAACATTCAGTGGCGGAATCAGCTGCTGTCCTAGGTGGAGGCTCCAGGTCCCCAGCCAGGGAATGGGGGTGGGGGTTCTCAGGGACAGGTGAGCCTGGGTCACTGAGTGGGGTGGGAAGCAGTGGACACTGACCTGAGGCCAGGCCGGAGAATGGCGTAGCCCACAATGAAGTGCACCTTCTCCAGGTTGGACATGGGTCTGTCTGAGATGGGGCCATTGGGGTCGAACACCTCCTCTTCCGTACCCAGTTGGTTGGCCACCTTGAAGCCCAAAGATGGCTGTTAGGACAGCTGCGATTCCCCTCACTTGCTAAGGAGGAATCCACACGCAGGGGTAGAAGTGACAGCTGGAACCTAGAAGCAGGCTAGGCAGGCTTACCTGGCCTGTGACCCGGGAGGACTGCTTCAGCTTCCTGGAGGAGATGTCCTTGTTCCCTCTGTCCTTGCGGCTTACTGTCTGTGGAAAGACATAGGAGAAGAGAGTCCAAGTGATTCCTCAGTGCTACTGACCTTCTGGTCACCTAGAGTGGAGCAAGTGTCCTTATCACTCAGATGTTCCTGGCCTGATTTACAAATTGCTGAAGAGGGGTTTGTTTGCAGCTGTTAGGTTCTGTGGTCTCCTTAGGCTGAGATCACCATTTGTCATGAAGAGTTTACTTCCCTAATTAGAGGTCACTGTGGGCCTGGGTGCTGGCTTCTGGATGGGGCAAAGCTGGTTTGGCCTGAACGTGCAGTGCAGGCTTTCACGTGCTGGGAGTGTGAGTGGGCTCACGGTCAGGGCTCTGTAAGTAGACACATGCGCAGGCAGGAAGCTCTACCTGAGAAGCCACTCCACAGCCCCTATGTCACCTCCAGGGGTGCAGTGTGGATCTACTGCCTCCCAGAGTCCCTTCCCTGGCAAAGTGACCTATAGGGACACCTGTACCTGACACTCCTACCCTGGGTGCCCTGTGAATTCCGTGCCTGGATACTGTGTCATCCTTCTGCTCTCCTGCCTGGATCATTGTCTCTGGGGAAGCCTTGCTGAGAGGGCAGCTCTATGGAGAGGTCGCTGTACCAGGCACAGAAGCCTCATGTCAGCAGCCACATGAGTGGCCAATCTGAGAGTGGACCCCCCACCTCAGTCACACCTTCAGGTGACACAAGCTCTGGGTGACATGATCACAGCAACCTCCTGAGAGACTCTGGACCAGATCTAACCGGCTAAGCTACTCCTGGCTGTGAGGAGCCAAGTAAAATATCAGGTAAGTATTGTTTAAGGGAGCAACCCACCATGCAGTGATGAATCCCTAGTGTCCCAATGGAGGCTGTGCCTCCAGAGGTCAGGGGATGGCGCATTGCGACAGAGATGCAGAAACCTTTAGGCTGCTGTGCAGTCAGTGGGTGGGGTGTACAGGGTCCTGCAGCCCCAGGGCACCCTCACTGCTGTGTACCCCTCTGGGGAGCTCTATCAAGATTTCCTCAGGGAACTACCTGGGCCTTGACGAGCCTCTCTGAGCAGAAATGGATGTGAATTAACCTTCCAGCAGGACCACAGTCAAGTGAGAGGCAAGAGGGTGGTCTCTGAATTCAACAGGACAGGTACAAAGCCATCTCCCACACTCAGCCTCTCCGTGAACTGAGGCAAGTTATTTCACCTCTCAATTTCTCTTGCTAGAAATAACCATACTAAGCCCTAGCTTGTAGGGCTGGCCCAGCTATGACCTAAACAGAGAGAAGCAGCAGGTGGTCAGTCAGTAGCAACATTGGTTATATCATTATTGCTGCATGCATTTGAATTCGGTTTGAGACTAACCCAATATTCAGAGTCCAGGTTGTTCCCTCCATGAATGACTGCGTAATTCAAACTGTCTTGGGTGTGATTCTTAATTTACAAGTTCTCAGATACAATTCAAGACAGCACACTCTGGTGCCCTGGTTTGTTGGGGGAGGATTCTGGGTGGCACGCAAGAGAGGGACCTGTGTCCACCTCTCTGTCCCGCCCAGATCATTCCCCTCTCCTTCGTACCACTCACCTGCACAGACCCGCTGTGTCTGGGCCCCTGAGCCGTGCCCTCCTGGCTCAGTGTGGCGTGGATCTGCCGCATGACTGGGCCGCCCTGCACGCTGTTCTTGGCATACAGCACCGGCTCCGGGAGGTCACCCATGAACCTCAGGATGATGGGCCACACGGCCAGGGCAGCCTGGGGGAGTGAGACGGGGGCTGCTGGAGTCCACTGCCTGCTCCCTAAAACCACAGCTGTTTCCCTCTGCACCTTAGCTCAGGGATCTGGAACAGCTGAGCTGCTGTGAACTCAATGACAACTGGGTACCCCGTAGTCAGTGTCGTCATCGTGGTAGAGCAGGGGGTAGCGGAGGAGACGTCGGATGTGTGTGTGGCTGGCTGATTTCTGGAAGTAAGTCGCAGCAAACTTGGGAAAGGTATACTCTGCTAGACCATCTGTGTCCTCTTCCAGCTTCTGCACAATGGGGACTGTGTCCAGATCAATCTCAGACAGTTTTGGAGTGTTGGTTTCTAGGATAGTCTTAGGCAGTTTGGGGCTTTTGGTTTCCAGATCCTGGGGATGGTTAAGAAAGAAAGTGGGTCTTTTTAGGTGACAGCTGAGCCTTCGGATAGCTGTCAAGTGTTCAGTGCTGGGGGCCAGTGGAGCTTGAGGAGGTTCCATCTGGGTACCGCCTGGTACAGAGGCATCTGCCTGGGCCTCCCCAACTCCCCAATTCCCACACACGGTAGGGGGCAGTGGGCTGCCTATGTGCAGCCTGGGCCCCCCTGTCCTGCAGACATGAGCCCTCTGCACTGCACCCCAAGCCCTCCCTTCTGCGTCCCTACAGGCCAGGTAAGGAAGGGCAGCACTTGTCTTGAGGAGGGGTCCCGGCTGCCCCACTCCAGGGGGACTCGAACACAGAGGGTAGGGCAGTGTGCAGATCTCCAGGGCCTGGAACCTAGAGCAGGGTCGGATGAGGGTCTGCAGGACAATCCTGGATGCAGCTCCAGCTGCCTGCCACTGCCCCAACCCCAAACCCTGCCACTTCAATTGTATCCTCTGACTTTCAGTCACATGTGCATGACAGCAGCCTGCAGGGCTCCAGGCAGGCATGGGAAGTGCTGCCTGGATGGAAGCATCCAGGGCCTCCAGGAAGTCTACCTGGCTCTGAAGGGTCCAGCCACGTGGCTGCCCGCCTGCTCTTTGCATGTATGGCTACTGAGCGAGTGAAACTCACCTTGCTGCTCCCTGAGCACCTGCTCCAGGGGCCGAGGGCTCGGCCCCCACTTGGGGCTGTCTTACCTCAAAGCACTCTGGAGCCTGGCCTTCCTGGCCCCCGATCATGGACGGAAGGAAGCCAAACACTTTCTCTACCATCTCTGTGTCATTGACAGTGTCATAGATGGACTTGCGCTTCTTGGTGGGGAGAGCACTTCTTCGGTCCTTCTGCTCTTCAGCTGGGATGGTTGCAGGTCCCTGCACACACACCTGGCAGTGAGACAGTGACCTCCAGGCTGGCTAAAAGGGTCCCACTCTGTCTACTCTCACATGACATGTATCTTCCAGAAACCAGGTAAACCCTGTCTTAACATGACTTGTCCAAAGCAATGATAGCCAGGGTGAGTACATATCAGGAATTTTCACTTCCCAGTGATAATTAGAGGTCTGGAGAGAGGTGAAATTGTCGGCCTGATCCCTGCAGCAGCACCTCAAACTCAAAGGAGCCCCAAACCACTGCTTAGGTCCTTTCATTTGTGGTGCATCAGAGTCTTCCAGGGGAGGTCTAGTCCTGTACTAAGGAGCATGTGCAGGTCAAGGTGCTCTGCAGCCAGGCTGGGGTCACTGGAACAGCAACTTGTCTGAGCATCTCCTGTTTCACTTGGCCTGTGTGTTGCCCTGGTACTTTATACAATAGACCTAATTTTCATCTATGGGGCAGAGGTAAATGTCATCTACAGGAAAGAAGTAAATGTCCCTTTGCCTTATCACAACTTCCAAACAAGCCAAGCGAAAAGCAAGTGGTTAAGTCTAGAACAATTCATAGAGGGATTGTGTAAGGGTCGGATTTCAAAGTGCAGGAGCACACTTCTTGTAGCTAGTATGATGCTTCCTATCCTCCCAACCTCCCAGAAAAATGAATGGCTCCCTTGGTGTTTCTCTGTCACCTGAGCTGTCACATACACGGCTCTGTGCCCAGACTTCTGCTCTCCTATGTGGAACCATGGCCTTCTATAGCTCATCTGGCCCACGTTTGCTATGCTTTCAAGGAAACTTTCCCTGCCATGAAATTGTCCCTAAAGCTTAATGAAGGGAAGGTCCTGAGAAGTTCCATTTCCAGGGTGCAGGTATGAGGCTGTCCTCCTCTGTTGCCTGTCCATGCTGCACTCTGCAAGGCCTTGGGCAGTGGCTGAGTCTTCCCAGATGGTGTGACCTACTGACTTGGAACAAGGAGAGGAGCAAGATGCCTCTTGTGCGATCTCAGTGGCAGCCTAATTTGACTTCTGTATCCTTGCTGTGGTCTTGAGTAATTGTAACAGATTTAAAGGTCTTGGCTTCAAAGCATGGACTTTGGAAAGGGGACTCTGAGAAGAGCTCTTCATTGCCACTCTCCTCCCCTCTGCCCTCGCCCACGTGGGTCCCAACCAGTCCCACCTGTCGAGAAGCTGCATGACCACCCAAGCTGGCTTTCTGTTGCTGGAAGCACCGCCGAGCAGCCATGCCCCTGGCATGTGCCTGGATGACGACCACAGCCCTCCTTTTCGCCTGGACCTGCTGGCGCACCAGGTAGCCCCTGCAGTGGGCCTGCAGTTGTACCATTCTCTGCCGCATGGCCTGGAACTGTCTCACCAGTATGTGGCTCCGGGCAGTGGCCTGCAGGCGTTCAAAGCCCAACAGGATCTGGGGGGCCAGGAAGGAGGAGAGCTCAGAACCAGAGGCCTTCCTAAGGAACCTGGAGTGGCAGTTCCCGGGGAGACCCTGGAAGTTAGCCGGACAGGCACCTGCTTCTCGGTAGAGGGCCCATGCTATGTATGGGCGTGTGCCTCGCAAGTGAATTGTTGATTGTAACGTCCTGAGAAAAGAGTCTGCTATGCAAGCAAGTGTTAACTAAGCATTTGTTAAATCATAAAGTGGCCTCCTAGGGGCCAGCAAGAACTGGCCTGGGTTTCACATGGGCAGTTTGATTCCAGAGCCTTTCTTTTCATTGCTACAGCCAGCCAAGCACAGCCACTGTGTCCAGTGAGGGGCTACTCAATGCAGGCTGGGGGAGGGACTGTGGTTGGCTCCATTAAGCTAATTCTTGGATCCTTAGAACAGAAGGAAAGAAAGCTGCTGAATGGTCATTTGTATGCTGCAAATATCCGCTGGCCACAACAGTTCCTGAGCACTGTTGGCTACTCAGAGATCAAACTAGTCTGGGTCAGCTTAGGGCCTGGAAGTCACCGCACTGACATCCGGATGTCAGCTCACTGCTTACTGTGTACTCTCAGCAACTCTGCTGAATTCTTCTGTGTCTCAGGTCCTTGACTGTTGGTTTAATATTAAATAAAGTCATAGGCCCCCAGCAGCTTCACCATACACATCTGCACACGGTGTCAACGTGGAACACAAAAGACCTTGGGCTCATTTGCTAATGTGACTGTTTTATGCTCCAACCACAGTTGTAGCTGTGACAAAGTTAAGTGAGGCTTAACTGAGTGCGGCCACAGTTGCTTGGCTTCATGTGATTGCCTGCAAGGTGGGGAAAAAAGAGTCCCAATCTCACGTCCCAGCAGGATTCCTTGGTCCAGCTCTGGGGATGCCCTGAACTCTGCAGAAGAACATGAGCACGGCCGAGAGGTTCGAGAGTGGGTGCTGATGTTCGTCATTTAAAATCGATACTCCAGGTGTTTGGAATGGAACTCTTCCTGCCTGAGGTCTCTAGTCAGAGAAGCAGACTCTTAAAATCTACCTGCTGCTCCGGAAGACCCAGCCTCCCAGCTCTCTCACCAGCTTGAAATTCCTCCTGTTGCAGTAGCCTCGCCACCTGGCCTGGATGGTCACAGCTGCCTTCTTCTGCTTCAGGAACTCCTTCCTGGGGGAGGGAAGGATGCAAGCAGAGGCATGAACAATCCAGCTGTTTTCAAGCCTCTGAGGCCTGGGGAACTGATCAGAAGGGCAGAGGGATGACAAGCTGCCAGGGAAAGTGAATCCCTACAGTACTTTCCCAGAAGCCTGTCCAGACCAAATGGTACACAGGCAGATTAGGAACACTAAGTCTATTGGCAGTAATGCAAACTCCAGGATTAAGACTATCAAGAAATCCCTTCTTACTGCCAAGATCTGTGAAGGAATAAAGTTCATCCTCATGGCCTCTTAGCCCAAGGCTGGACCTGGAAAGGAGGATCTGAATATTGGGTTTTGGGGGACAGAGGCAGTCCCAGGGGAGTTTGAGTTACGTAAAGCTTTCATGTCACAGTCAGCTGAGTTTTTTCACTTCTAGTGACTTTTTCAGAGGACTTTTTTCATTTTAGAGCAGTAAATCACAACCATGTTAAAACCATCTAAAAAACTTTCAGTTATTGATGCCTTGGTCACACCCAGTCCAATTAAGTCGGAACTTTTGATATTTGTTTAGCTGTCTACATACACACACATGCACACATACACACACACATACTCATAGAGTCAGTCCTCTGTGTACACAGGTTCTGTGTCTACAGATTTAATCACTCATAGGTTGAAAGTATTTGAATAAAATATAACATCTGCATGGAATCTATACAGTTTCTTTCTTGTCATTCATCCTTTCCTAAACAGCACAATATAAGAGCTATTTACACAGCATTCCATTGTATTAGGTATTATAAGTAAGTTGGACATGACTGAAATCATAGTGGGACAGTGTGTATAGGTTACATACAAATATTGCGTCATTTTATATGAGACATGAGCATCTGCAGATATTGGGTCCTTGAATGGTGGAACTAATTCTCCAAAGATACTAAAGGGCAACTGCATACATTTAATTCCCCAATATTCTAATAGAGTCAAAGTAAACAACCAAATTATCCAAAAATAAAGATGATCTATCTACTTTCTGGTATCTGTACAGTGATTCCTAACTGAGCACAGCTACCCTCCAGAGCACACTGGGCAAAGCTTAGAGGTGTTCTAGTTGGCATGGTGGCATGAAGGGTGGGAGAGGGTGCTACTCATAGCCAGTGAATGGTGGCCAGAGATTCTACTAAACAGCCTGTAATGCTCATGATTGTCCCACAACAACATGGTTATTGCATGGTTATGCACGAGACCCTGTGTTCAATCTCCAGCACACATGTGTATACACAGTACACACACACACTCACACATGCACAGAGTGCGCACTGTCATCGAGAAGCCATGATTCTTTCTTCAGTTTTTTCTTTCTTCTTTAATTTTTGGTCCAGTTTATTGAGTAGAACAGCAAAGACATGGTGAAATAGCAATGGCCATCACTTTCAAGAAGATGGGCTAGATATACTTGTATGTAATCCTCTTGCTAAGTACGACTAAAAGCCTTGGGCTTACACACAAAACAAACATAAGACAACTCTGAAAGGCAAGAAGAAGAAAGCAGATCATCCAGGGACATCACAGCTCAAGAAATGACACCATGGTAACTTCTCCAGATTTTCTCTTTACCTCATTTCTTTGAACCTTTTCTCTTTACTTCTCTCTACCCAGGCTAGAACTAAAGAACTTAACAACCTAGAAATGCTAATAGATAAAGACCCACAAGCCCCTAGAAGAGCTTTTCCTCTCTCCACAAAGGAGCAGGAAAGAAGTAGCCTAGTAAGATAGAAAATTTAAAACAATAACCTCTCTACTCCAATGAAATATCACACCAGACAACCATAGCATCACAGCACCTACATCAGCAAATGCGAGCAGGAGCTTAGACATGGGCTCTGCGCAGCCCACAATGAGTGCACTTCCTGTCAACATCCTGTCTGAGGAGACTAGTGCCCCCGATCGCAGCAATGAGCCCATCCACCTCCAGTGTCCCTTGAGGGCCCTGGTACCATGGACTTCACCCCAGCCCGGCAGGGTGGCATGAGCAGCGGCCTCCTAGAAAGCAGACCCCCAGCCTGGCCAGCAGTAACAAGGAACCTGGAGTCACTTTGACAGTTGACAGAGGCCATGTAGAGAACCTGACCTGGCAGCAGCGAGTGGTGCCCTGCATACCCTGCCCAGTGGCGCCTGAGTGTAAAGAAGCCAGCAAAATCAGAATATTTAAAGACATGGTGCTCTCATAATGCAATGTCCAAAATGTCCATGTTTCAATACAAAATCATTTATCATACCAAAAACCAGAAGAATTCAACTTGAAGAAGAAAAGACAACAGATGCCAACCCTGAGGTGACAGGGATGTCAACTGTCATACAAAAATGCTGGGATGCAAGCTGTTACACATGTAACCCCTCCCTGAGGTGACTGCAAACTGCATGAACTGCAAATGTGTACTAATAAAATTAAACATTATTTTTAAAAAGTTGCTCTGAAAAAAACAAAAAATGCTGCAATGAGCAGTTGTGAACACAACCTGAAATAAGCAGAAAACAGAGTCTCAGTGAAGAAATAGAAGGTACAAAGCAGAGCTGAACAGAAACTTTAGAACTGAAAAGTACAATGGAAAAACCCATCTCATTGGATGAGCCAGGGACTGGGGATGTAGCTCAGCGGCATAAGCACCTGCCTGGCAAGCTCAAAGTCGTGAGTTCAATTCTAGACTCCAAAATAAATCAATAAGGCAAAAAAAAAAAAAATGGATGAGCCAGCAACATAAAGGAGATAACAGAGGAATAAATCAATTAGTTTGAGGACAGACCCATGGAAATTATTCAAACTGAAGAACAGAAGTAAAATAGAGGGAAGAAACTGGACAGGGTTTCCAGGCATGTCGGCACATGCTTAGGAGCAGAGGGTGAAAGGCTGCTGTTGTGAGTTCAAGTCCAGCCTGGGCTGCACAGTGAGACCCTGTCTCAAAAAATAAGAACACAGTGAGCAGGGCTAGGGAACCACAGGTATAGTGACAAAAGGTCTAATATCTTTGTCATCAGAGTCCTGGAAAGAAAAGAGACAGGTAGTGCTAAAAAACTAATTAAACACAAGATAGTTGAAAAATCCATAAACTGGCCAAGACAGAAACAGAGATGACCTGGAAAAAAACTCAAAACAGAATAAATTCACATCAAGACACATCTTGATGCCAAATTTCTGAAAACCAAAGGCAATAAAACCTTGAGACCAATGAAAAAGAAACAACATACTACCTTAGGACAAAAATAATTCAGATGACAGCACATTTCTCATCTGAAACTAGGGCAGCCAGAGGAAAGGGCACAGCCTCTCCCAGGTGCCCAGAGGGAGGACCATCAACCAAGGCTGCATATCCAGCAACAGAGCCAGAGAGCAAGACCTTCTCAGGCGAAGAAAGAGAAAGGGAACTGTCAGGAGACCTGTTCTAAAAGAAAGGCTGAATGAAGTCCTCCGAACAGAAAGGAAACAACAAAAGAAGAAACCTTGGAATGTCAGGAAGGATCAAAGAATAATAAGCAATAATGTGAGCAGATACAATTTCTTCTCCGCCAGTGTTTGCTAAAATATATTTGATAGGGCAAAGTTTGTGACACTCTCTGATGTGGTATGTAGAGAAAATATTTGAGAAAATCATATTACAAACAAGAGAGAGCAAGTGATATAAAAATATTTCCAGATTTTGTTTGAAGTATATATACAAATATGGTAACAGTAATATGTATGACACACAATATCTAAAGCAACCACCTAATAGGATGCACTTTATCATACCATACATAAATAAAAATGGAAGTAACCCACAGAAAAGTAGAAAAAATACAGGGAAATAAAAAACTGATAGAAAATAAAATGGGAGACCGAAGCTCCAAGATGTGAATAGTTACATTAAATTTAAAAAGCCTAAATACACTAATTAAAAGACAGAGATTGGTAGGATGGATTAAAAAGCATGATCCAACTACATACTCTCTATAAAAAAAACTCACTGAAAGTGCACTAATATAGGAAGTCTGATAGCAAATGAACGAAAAATGTGAATCATTCAAATAGTAATCCAACGGGAATTCAACATTAATGCCATATAAAGCAGACTTCACAGCAAAGAAAATAATCCAAGATAGAGATTACATGAATATAAAAATGCATATCCAACAAGAAGACACTGAAATCCTAACAGTATGTGCATCTAAAAACAGAGCTGTAAAATTGATGAAGCAAAAACTGACAGAACTAAAATGAAAAAGGCAAACACAGTTACAGTGGGACTGCACAATACTACTCAACAACTGTTGGACAATTAGGATATCAACAAGGATGCGGAACTCAGCTCCACTACCAACCGACTAAACAGGTATGACATTTTTAAAAAGAATACTTCATCCAACAACAGTGGAATATATGTTTTTTGTTTTGTTTTGTTTGTTTTTTAAGTTCCCTTAGAACATATATCAAGGCAGACCACATCTTGGGTCATGAAGGAACTCTCAACTTATTTAATGAAATTTAACATCTATGGAATGTATCTTTGACCACAGTGGAATCAAAATGCAAGTCAATAACAAAAGAACAGGAAAATCTCCAAAAACTTGAAAACTAAACAACATACTTCAGAAGTAATCCAGGGGCCAAAGGGGAAATTTTTAAAAATAAACTGACTGAAAATGAAACTATATCACACCAAAATTAGTGAAGTTCAACTAAAGCAATACTGACAGTCACATCATTTTACATTCTAAAAATAGAAAAGCACTGAATTAATGGGTAAGAATTGAACACTTTCTCAAGATATGGGACATCGTAAAAACGTTTGCCATCAGTACTCACTAATACTTGGCAGCTGTAGCATCTACAATAAGGTAAGAAAAGGAAATAAAAGACACATAACTAACAAGAAAGAAATAAAACTGTCCTTATTTGCAGATGACATGATTATTTACATTGGAAAATCTAAGAAATGAATAGAAAGGAAGTTCAGCAATTTTGCAGGATTCAAAGTCAACACACAAAAATCAATCATAATTCTATATGTGAGCAGTGAACACATTAAAGATGAAACTGAAAATACAATGCAACTTAGAATTGCAAAAGTTACAAGATGTGACAAGATATATGCTGACAACTACAGAACAGCAATGAATAAAATCAAACATTTAGGTACCTGGAGCAAGTTACCATGTCCATTCAAGCAGTAGAAATGTTATTTCCCTAAATTGATATACATTGCAACAGCTGTAAAAAATTCCAATCATATTTTATTATAGATATAGACATGATTATTTTTAAATGTCTATGGAAATGCAAAGAAACCAGAATAGCTAAAACAGCTTCAATAACAAAGAGTGGAAGGAATCTATCCACATAGCTACAAGAGTTACTCTGTGGCCCCTGGCAGGGGAAGGGAAGTAGAGAACCCAGAACACAGTATGTCCAGTGATAAAGTTATAAAGGCAACTCACTGAAAAAAAGATGGACTTGACAGTGAATGATGCTAAAGTAACATCTGTCTATAGGAAAAATTTAAAAAGAGTCTTGATTTCAGTCTTACACCTTATACAAAACATTAACTCCAACTCAAGATGGGTCATAGACCTAAATGCAAAACTTTTAGAAAAACATAGCAGAAAATCTTCAAGCAGAAATTTTTCAGACTCAACACCAAAAACATGACCCATGGAGGGAAATTTGGGACTGGGCATGGTAATGCATGCCTGTAATCCCAGCATTAGGGAAGCTGAGGCACAAGTTTTAAGCTAGCTGGGGCTACATAGTGAGTTCAAGACCAGCCTGAACTACATGGTGAGACCCTATCTCAAAACAAACAAAAAATGTAACAGGGAAATTGTCTAATAGACATTATAAACGTCCCTTTTAAGAGAATGAAAAGATAAGCTGGGTATTTACAGGATATTTACAAACCTTGTAACCTTGTAACCAACCAACCAAACCTTGTAACAAACAAAGCATTATCATCTGGAATATCTAAAGAACTTTCAAAACTCAACAAACAATCTAATTAGAAAATAGGCAAGCAACAAACACAAGGCCTTTCATCAAAGAGGGTGCATACACATGCCAAATAAGCACAGGAAAAAATGTCCAACTTTCTTAGCCAAGAGGGAAACATAAAAGTGTGACCACAATAGGACTTCATTACACACATCAGAGTAGCTGTGTGTGAACAGAGACATCATCAGATGCTGGCAGGGATGCAGAGAAACTGAATAATTCATTCATGGCTTACAAGACTGTGAAATGGTAGTCACTCTAGAAAACAGTTTGGTGGTGCCTCCGAACCCTTTTTCACTGTTCTGTGAATTGAACTGAACTACATCCACAGCTCTTTTTATGTCTTAGAGACAAGGTCTCGCTAAATCACTAAACTGACGAGGGTGAGCTGGAACTTGTGATGAGTCCTCCTGTCTCAGCTTCCCAGAGTGCTGGGATTACAGGAGTGTGCTACTACATCCACCTTGGAGGTTTCTTTAAAAATGAAATATGTTACTACCATTTCACCCAAGCATTATCATTCTTGGGCATTTCTACCAGAGAAAGAGCAACTTACGGATTTCCTGGAGTTTCCAATGTAGATAACCATGCAAAGTTGTGGGCATTTTCTTATCTCTAAAACCAGATAATCTCATGACCCAAGCCCATGTGTTCTTTAAGATGGTTAATCGAGCATCAAAATCATTTTGCTTAAAATTCTTATGTATGGAGTCCCAGCAAACATTTTGATGAAGCATTCTCTGGTCAACACAGGCTGCACTGTCCTGGTCAGGAGGTCTTGCGCCTCAGTTTCCCTCCCAAGCCTGCCCAAAGGATATGGCGCCCAGGTGTGTGGGCTGAGTGAGATGGAGGTGGGGCCGGCACCTATATTTGTAGCCTCGCAGGACCCGCTGGATTCTGACCGCTGCTTCGTCCAAGGCCTGGCTCCTCTGTACCTCCAGCAGTGTGTCCTGGTGGTCCTGCGAGAGGGGGCGACACCATCACAAGGCTGATCCTGCTGCCTTTCCCACAATGCCAGCCCGGGGCCAGGGCGTAAGCTCCAGAAAGCAGCATCTCCGAGGCTTCCCCAAGAGGCCAGCAAAGAAGGTACCCGAGCCTGACGCAGCTGAGACTCGAGCAAAGAGTGCCAAGAGCTCCTGTACATGCTTTTCCTTCTTGTGAATGGAGCCCAAGAGGGAGGTTGTCATGAAACCTCTCTGAAGTTGTGTTTTATTTCCCAACATTTGTTGCAATGTTTGCATCCAACTCTACAGTGAACTCATGCTTGTTTCAATATAATGTTTTTCCCATAGCTCATGAGCAGGCAGCATTCTTGGGCATGGCTGTCCCCAGCCTCAGTCCCCCGTCCCTGTGCCCTGGAATGAGAGGCAAGAGCCACTACCTGAGCCCTGAGAAGACAGGGATCATCCCAGGCTGGGTGTGGAGAGGGTGGGCTTCTTGCCCTCCTTAGGCTGAGCTCAGATAGCGTCTTCATGTCCCCTGGGTGAGCACTGGACACAGTTGTACTGGGCATTGGCTGTGGCCTCCAGGAACAGCCAGGAGGAAAGCGTGGAGGGTTGGTGTTCCCTTCTTTTCCTGGGCCTCCTGCCCATGCTGAGCTGACCACTCAGCTCCACCCTGGAGCCTCATTGCCTGTCACCCTACTGGGCAGCACCCTGGGCACCTCTGGAGTCTCACTCCCAACTGGATCGAGAGACTTCTGCTCCCTCCTCCCATCTGTGCCCCAGAGCTCTGGCCCAGGGCCCACTGATGCACAGACAGACAGACAGTGAACCTGTCACAGGGCTGGGGCAGGAAGCCTGCGGTAACTGAAGGCCCAGAGGCAGCTCTGGGGAGGCACAGAGGGGCAAAGGGTGAGGACAGGGTGGGAACCCTCCTCCTGGCTCTGATCTTGGATTTCTCTCCTGATTTCGCTCACCTATCCCAGGCTTAGGAGGGCAGGGGGACATGGAGGTCCCTTCTGCAGAGGATCCGAAGCTAACTAGTGATCCTGCCCTGTTGCAAGGCCTCATCTGTCTGACCCAGCCTCCCTGAATATTGTGGGGAGGCTGGACTGTGCCACAGGCTGCCTGAGGATAGCTGCTGCCCTGCTGCCAACACACAGAGTCCTCATGCTGAGCCACCCCTGGGGGCAGCCCTCTGTGGCAAGTGGAGCCAGTTCCTGGCACTCTAAACTTCCTAGTACAGGAGGGCCCCAGAGGGCACAGAGTGGGTTCCAGCAGCTCTGCTCAGTTTGAGGGGTGAACTCCAGGTCCCATGCAAAAGCCAACTTGCGCCACACAATCCAGGAGACTGAGGACCCACCAGTCTCTCAGGGGCTCACCTTCAGGAAGACTTTGGTCTTTCCCAATTTCCAGTCCTTGTCTGTCTCCAAATACAGGTTAGTGATGCTCAGGGTCATCTCACGGAAATTATCTTGAAGCTGAAGAAGAAAACACGGTGGCCCAGTGCTGATGGGAGCAGGGCCTGGGTGGGGAGCTATGGGGATCACTCTGGGCTCTCCCAGAGATCTGTCTGTCCCTTCTCCTCTCACTGGCTTCACCCTGTTGGGCTCAGATCCCGGGGTGGTTAAGGGGAGTGCTCTGGGCTCAGGCTCTGAGGCTGTGACTGTGCATGAGGCTGTGGGATGCATGGCCTTAGAGAAGCCCAAACTTTAGGACCTGGGTTCCAGTTTAAAAAGGACTTCCTGCCTCCAAAACCCCACACAGCCCCCTATATTCCACCAGGGGAGAACACAACCATTCACAGTAAAATTAGACATCTCTGAGAAAGAAAGCCTGCCACTCGGTGACCCAAAGTCTGCCACTCAGTGACTCATCAATGAGTGAGTCACCCCCTCACTGCCTGGCACAGCACAGAGAGCCTGGAGACACACCAATCAGGTGAGAGATGACACCAGGAGGATGGGGGCAAGGGTGGCTGGGTGCTGTTAAGTCTGGGGGTCTGGGGTGGGTGTACATCCTTCAGGAGGGCAGTGGGGGGAGCCCAGAGAATGGGGAAAATGGGCAAGGGGAGGTACAGGGTGCGGGGCACACACCTGAGCACGCTGGGTGCTGGTCAGTAGCACTCGGAACCTCTTTGCAAACTCCTCAAACGTGTAGCGGACAGGGAAGCCCGACTTGCGGATGAGCACGGTCTCCATCATGCCTGAGTAGTGCAGCTGCTGGAGGCACAGCTCCCTGTCGAAGAGCTGCGGTGGGGGAGCAGGGCCCACAGTTACCAAGGTCAGTGACCCTGGGGCCTGCTGGGCTGTGCCCCAGAGACGGCAGAAGCTGAACAAATGCTTTGTTGAATAAAAATAACCTTTTTTTTTTTTTTTGGAAGAGACTGTAGAGGTAGCTGAAAAGTTTTTGGAGAGTTTCCAAGAAGACAAAAATTGATAACCCATAAACGACTGCACCCTTAAGAACACCAGACTTTCACCGAGGTGAGATACGCAGAGTTCAGTGAGTGGAAAGGCAGCAGCCCTCAGGAGATGTTCCCATGGGCCTGGTGGCAGCGGGCCATGCCACAGAGCAGTGAGGAGAGAGCGCTCTTGCCGAGAGGCAGTGGAGCTTCTTGTCAGCTTATTCCCTTAGGGGTCACATCTAAAATGTCCCCCCAAAGTCTCCTGTGTTCAGAGACGGGGCTCTCAAAGGTGAACAGATCATCGGTGGGGTGAGCTAACCCACAGCTGTCACCCACAGCTGGGAGCTCATGGGAGGCGAGCGGCAGCAGAGAGTGGAGCAGGGACTGTGGCCTCGGGTGCCTGCTCCCTGGCGCCCCTGGCTCTGTCTCTCTCACCCTGCTTCCTGCCGATGCTGTCTGTCACAGGCTTTAAAGCAATGGAGACAACCAACCATGAACTCCAACCTCCAGCTTCTTCTCTGAGTTATTTTTCTCAGGTATCTGGCCCCAACAACAAAAACCTAACATCTTTCTTGGCTGAGGCAGACGCAGGACAGCTGGAGGGGGCAGTTGGGCCTAGGGAACAGGGCAGCCTGTGTGGGGGCCGCTGTGGCAACTGGATGCTTTCCTAGGGTGTCAGGAGCCCCAGTGTGCCCAGTTATCGTGAGTCCCAGGTGGAGGTAGAGGAGGCTCCTGGAGGCCCAGAAGGAGGCCCCGCGTGCCAACATCCTAGGAAAGCATCCTGCACATGCTCTTCCCATAGTCGTTCTCGAAAGGACCCAAGCCAGAGTTTGGGCCCTCAGTGCGGGCTTCTCTTCCGTATCACCCATCAGGAAGCTACCTCTCAGCCCTAGCCCTGATTACCTTCCCCAGCAGCTCCCAAGTAGGCAGTGTGGGTGTAGGCAGAGGGCTTCTGGGAGCACAGGGACACCCCCAGGCATTTTCCCATTTCAGCTGTAGCAGGGGATATCCTCATTTTTATGAAAAAGCCCCAATTTCATATAATTTCATCTTTTGAGAAAAGGACTACAGCTGATGTAGTATTTATTTTTGTTCTTTTATGAGATGTTTTTGAATTACCTTTTATTCCTCCAAATGGCACTTTGCAGTATAGGGAAGCCCTACATCTGTAGGCTCCTGGGCTCCCACCCCTTGCCACATGCATCTACACAAGAGCCACCACAGGTTCTGGCACTGGACTCCATCGTCCCGGGACTGGCTTCTGCCACTTACTGAGTGTCCCAATACTAGTTCTAACCCTCAGATTAGAATGATCTGGCTTTATGGGAGAGAAAAATTGAGGCTCAGGGAGGTCCAGAGCCTGGCCAAGAACACACAGTGGATGAATAGCAGGGCTAAGAGAACCAAGTGCCTCTGGGTGATCCAAAGCCTTGCAGGTCATTGACGCAATCAGATGTGGAGGCAGATAGCAGCTCTAAGGCCGGCCAGGACTGCTGAAAGAGTGGTCAGGGCCCTGAACACCTCAGAGCCACCCCTTCCTCCCGTGCCCTCCCGTTCTCCTTACCAATGGCTTCTTATACTTGTTGGGTTTGATGCAGCGGATGAAGTGGGGCTCGCATCTGGCCAGGATTTTCATTAGCTGCTCCAGTGACTGCTTGAACTGGCCCGCCAGGGTGGAGGGCCGCTTGGCAGAGTCTGCAGACTGCTAGTGGGAACACTGGGCATGAGTGGGGGCAGTGGGGATGAGGCCGGGGTCACGTGGATGCCCTCCTCCCCTGCACAGAGAGGGCTGCTGCCAAGTGCATTCACACATTCGTTCATTCATTCATTCCTCCATCTAGTACAGGTCTCCTGAGTGCCTATTTCACAGGCACCTGGCTGTGTGCTGCTGGCATCTGGCACCCACTGGTGGGCAGATTGTTTTTCCTCCATACACATCTGTCTGATCCCATGGTCCTCAGGGGTGAGACACCCAGGAGACCAAGGAGGGTACCAGAACCCACCTTGAAGAGCTGGCTGCTTGTCTTTGCCTGACGGATGGTGCCACGGCCCAGCTTGGTCTCTGCTGACTCCAGATTGAATATCTGCCTCAGGAACTTGTTTTTGGAGGAGTGAACCAGGGTGAGAATATCCATGCTTAGCACATCTCGGTTCTTCTCCAGGAAGCCTGTGGAAACAGCAGGCCAGCTTAGCCATCACCCCCACCCATCAGGAAGGGGACACCCTGAGATCACCCTGTAGATGAACATTCATAGCTGTGTTGTGCAAAGATGACACTCATGGGCTCAAGGGCCAGCAGAAAGTGAAAACAACACAACTGTCCATCAACTGCTAAAAAACAAGCAATATGGTCTATCCATCTAACAGAATGTTATTCTACAATAAGAGAACTGAAGTAACAACATAGACAAGCCTTGAAAATTTTATGACAACCGAAAGCACCTGGCCACAGGAGACCACAGGTCACCTGAGTGCCTGAGGCAGCATATGTGGGGAGGTGGAGTCACCTGCTGCCTAGTGCTGGGGGGAAAGGGAGTGGGGGCTGGGCATGATGCTAATAGAAGGTTTCTTCTGGGTAAAGAAAATGTTATAAATTTGTAGCAATCATTGCACAACTCTGGGAATATACTAAAAACCACCAAGTGGTCCATTTGAAGCAGATGAATAGCAGGGTATGTGAACTACAGATTCATTACCAAAACAGATGCCTGGCCCATTCTGTTTCCTTTCTCCAGTAAAAGCCATACTACTTATTTTACCATCCCATTACTAGATGTACAAAGTAACCTGTCCTCTAAATGCCTTGCCATGGTTTCCTGGAGTCCTCTCTGGATATGGCAGGGCATGAAGAAGGCTGAACTCACCTTCCACTTGGTAGTACACCTCACCAGCAAAGTGGGCAATGCCAAATCTGACATCATGGATGTTCTTGGGTTTCAGGAAAGCCTTGTTGTTGGCATGGACACTGTTCAGTTTTTGCAACATGGTGAGATCTGTCCCCTGGAAGAAGGGGGATGCTCTGTGGAATCAGGTTCCAGAGTCCAACAATGGGCTCATTATTTCTGCTAGAGATATTAGCACCCCTGGGAACATACGGGCCATCCCAATGGTGTTCCCTAACTTTGAAAGCAAGGGCTCCAGTAGAATGTCAGACACACACCTTTGGGAAGCGGCTCTCTTCATCTAGGAGGGAGATGACACTCATGGGCTTCAGAGCCAGCAAGTCCAGGGTGGGCTGGTTGTCAGTGTAGTGGATGTAGTCCCAGGTGAGGTTCTCTGAGCGATACTCCTCCTGCTCCATGGCAAATACATGCTTCACAAAGAACTGCTGCAGGTGCTCATTGGCAAGATTGATGCAGAGCTGCTCAAAGCTGTGGAGACAGCACCATCATCCAGGGTGGAGCAGAGTCAGTGGGGTCCCCACCACAGCTTGTGGGAGTCCTGCAATCACTGCTGTTTGCACATAACTGTGCACACAGATACACATCCCTGGACACGCAGAGTCCCCTGTGCATGCAGGCACATATTTCCCTGCACATCCTGCACCTCTACCTCCATTGCCAACACCTCTTCTATCCCATGGCAATCGGGCTAAGAGCAGCAAGGGGCCCACCTAGCATCAGGTCCTTGCCTTTGGTGTCTCAAAATCCCCCAGGTCCTTGGCTAGGCCTGCCCATCCTGTCACTGAGCCTCTGCACTGGGCTAAACACCCATGGGACAGCAGACTTGGTATTGAGACAAGCTTTCAGAAACCTGGTATTGTCTGCCAAGCCCCTTTGTGTTGGTCAGGTGTGCACTCTATTCCAGTGCCCTCACCCCTGCCAACCTTCCAGCCTGACCTTCCCCCAGGGTTCCATGCTTTAAGAAACAGCTCCTTGAGATCCTGGGAAGGTGGTGAATAGCTAGATAGCAGCGTGGTAAGCCTCTGAGAAAAACAACCCAGACACTAGAATTTAATACCATGGAGAGGACCAGACGAAAGGAGAAGGATTCTCACTACCCAGGAGGAAACTGAGGAAAAAGAAAAAGAAAAAGAAAAAAAAAGAAAGAGAGGAAACGTGGATGAAAGGCTGGAATCAGATGCACTTTCACTGGAGCCGGTCCCGTGCTGTGCCGGCACGCCTTGGAGTCAGATGACACAGCGGCACTGAAATCAGAGGTTGGTGAGCTCAAGGCCCTTGGCGGGAGGATGCGGCTCAATGGAGAACAAAACCAACATGGAGAGCTGCACTAACCTGTGGTGAATGCTAGGAATTTGGTCCTACGGAGCGGGTAACTGGCTGGATGACATATTGGAGTTGGGCAGAATGGGCCTGAACCTGGAACCCCAGTGGCGTCAGTCGGCTGTCCCCGCCCAAAGCAGGCTGGTGGGGTCTGCTTGGGCTGGATCATGCCCTTGGGGACCCAATAGCCAGGGGCCAAACTGTCCCAAACCTGTGACTTCTGCATGGCACAGACTAACGTAGTGAAGGCACTCGCTGGTTGACTGGCTCAGAGGAGAGGGGCCAGCCCATATCGTCCCTGTGTGCACCTCACAGATCAACAATAAACTGGAGAGGGCAGCAATCTCCCAGCTAGCACACTTCAGAAAAACCATAAGCAATATGGAAAGGGCCTGAGACCTCCACCATACACCTGTTTGAAAGAAACCAGAAACATGACAAGAGAAAGAAACAAGAAAAAGCCTCCAGCCACTGACCCAGGGAAAATAAATCTAGGGGAGGTAAATACAGAAGAGATCAAGGGCTGCAAATATGCAATATTGGATACAGCATTAGCAGACATAAAGAAATACCTTTGTGACCTCATAGACGAACTTAAAACTGAAATTCTCAGTCAAGTAAAGTAAGATATAAAAAGATTAATGAAAGAAATACTAAGCACCTCACAAGAAGACACATATGGAAGAATGAAGGAACCCAGAAAAAGGAGAGAAACCTTTGATGAAGAATATAAACAAAATCTAGAATAAGAGATTACCAGGAAATGAAAAACTCCATTGAAAGCTGGAAAAATTTCTTGACAGAAACTAAAGTTAGACTCTCAAAACCTGAAGATAGATTTGCAATGTGTGATTGTGAAAGAAATATCTCTTAAAAATAACAAGGAAGTAGGAAGTAACAATACAAAGGCTAGAAGACGACAAGAGCATTTTTAACCTAAGAATAAAAAATGTGAGCGAAGAAGTAGAAGTAAACACAAATGAAATACAAAGACTATTCACAGAAATAATTAAAGGAAACTTCCCAAGCATAGGAAAAGGAAATGATATTCAGATGTATGAGGCATACAGGACTCCAGCCACCTACAACCAAAACAGCTACACCCAGACATATGATAATCAAGATCTCAGAAATCCACCACAAAAACAGAATATTAAAAGCTTTCACAGAAAACAAACAGATCACCTATAAAGGAAAACCCATCAAGATCACAACAGACTTCTCGACACAAACTATCAAGTCAAGAAGAGCTTGGAGTGAAGTATTACAGGCCCTGAAAGAAAATAACCTCCAACCCAGATTGATATACCCTGAAAAACTGTCTCTCAAAATTAATGGAGAAGCAAGATGTTTCCATGACAAAGAGGAACTGTGAGAGTTCATGACCACCAATCCAACCCTACAAAAAATAACTGAAGGACATTCTAAAGAGAGAGAAAAAAATCACCAGTATTCCAGCAACAGTGGCAGAGAGGCCTTAATGAATGGGGCAGGCAGTACAATGAAGGAGAAAAGCAGACAACCAAAGACAGAAAAATACCATAGCAGAGATGAGGCAGAGAACTCTGGTTATAATCTGTAACACAGATGGTCTTGATAAACTAACAAAAAGAAACACAGGCAGAGCAGATCAGGAGATAGGGTCCATTGAGATGCTATAAATAGGAAATATAATCTACCTGAAGGAGGGTTAATGAACTGAAAGTCCAAGATGAGAAAACAATGCTTTATGTGACAGGCAACCAGAGAGAAATAGGTCCAGCAGCTGTAGATAGGTTAGAAAGTCATGACACTTTCGTGCAGTGGAGAACCACTCAGCTATAAAGAAGGAAAACCTTGAGGCTTTAGTAGGTAAAGGAATACAGCTCAAGATCAAGATTAGGAGTAAAAAGGTTCAGAACCACTTAGGTAGATGGCAGGTTGCCTCCCTAATCTAAAAACTAAAGGAGTTGGTGGGACCCAAAATGTACAAAGCACTCTGAGAAAGGGAAAGAGGAGGAATTGTCTAAAAAAGGAAGGCAGAGGACATTGTTAATAGTGTATCAGGATTTAAAAGCCACATTAGTCTTATCGCTCTGTTCAGTTTGATTGTATTCTGTTCCAGTCTGTCTATTCATACTATATTTGAAGGTACAGACAGCTATCCCCAAAATAGCAGAATCTACTATGGTAACTATTCTTAATTTCCTATTAACTTAACCTAAAGCCCTGTATTACTTATGCTGTCTCACTATGACTGATCTTATGTGAATCTGGTTTGTTAGACTGCTGTTTTGTCTTGACTAATTTTATTCAAATTTGATATGCTTGATAGTATCAAGTCTAAGAGTAGAGGCAACTACTCTGAAGATGACAAGATGCAATAGATATCCATTCCGGTTTGATTATTAACTGTTTTTGAAGTCCTATAATGTCTCCAATGTTTTGTTTTTATTAATATTGCTATGTAGTGCTATGTTCAATTATATTATGCCTGATGATATAAACAATTCTATTGAAAATAACAAGGCATCATAGTAACTACTGTAGATCACCTAGCATTGTGCTTTTATATGTCTTTTTCATTTCATGTTTTTCTAGGAATTTGTTTTGTTGTCTTGTTTTTATTTCTTTTTCCCTCTAATACAGGAAGGATAGATATACTTGTAGAGATTCACGCTTGTGTAGAACTTCTAAACAGTTTATGAGAATAGATTATATAATGCACGATATAACGAGCAGATACTCTGAAGAAAAAGAGACACTAAGATATCCAATGCTAATTCCATAGCATCATGATATAAAATCTAGCAACACTACTATTCTATGTCCAGAGTGATTTTAGTCTGTTTTCTTTTGTTTAATTTCAACATACGTAAAGGTATGGACAGCTATTTGGAAGAGAACGAGAGACACTACGGCAGCCATTGTTGACTTCCCTATTGTCTGGTCTTGAAGACCTAAAATGCCTTCATCATCCTGTTCTGATGAGTTTTACATTATTTTGTTTTGTATGAATTCATTGTATGTGAAGATAGGGACAACTATTTGGAAGAAAACAAGAGACAATATGATTGTGAAGATCTCCGGTGGTCTTGCTTTGAAATCTGTGTTTCTTAAATTGTTTTCTTATGATTCATTTGTTTTAATTTCACCCTCTTTAAAATGAAAAAAAAAAAAAACAAAAAAAGAAAAGAAACAGCTCCTCTACCAACCACCCAGTCTCAAGTCAGAAAACAAAGAATCAAGCTTGACCCTGTCCCTCCACATCTCCTGGTGGCCAAAGTGGCTCATGTTATCTCCAGCACTGTGCCTCGTGTTCACTGTTTGTCCAGGCCAGCTTCACTGCTCACCCAGAGCACAGCAGTGGTCTCATCTCTGCTCTCCCTAGAGGAGCGCTCTCTGATGTTCACATGAGCTCCTGTCCTGCACTTCAAATCCTCCCACTTCCCACTGATTTCAGATCTAGAAAGAGACCACAGGAGAAAGCTCTGGCCATCTCTGCAGCCTCCCTGGGGCCACTCTGGGTAGCCTGGAACTCTTGCAGTTCCCCAAGGGCTCCCATTCCTCCCTGCTGCAGAATCTACTCTTCATGACTTGGGGGGTTCTGTTTGCCTTTGGATCTCTTGGGCATCTCCTCCTCAGGTGGTCACCTCAAGGCAGGACCTCATCTTTCTGGAACTTCTTGTTCAATGTCTGTTAACCCAGGTCCCTCAGGCCGAGTGCAATGCCTGGAGAGGTTCCCTGAACCTTGCAGAAGTCATAACCAAATTGACATCCAGAACCAAGGGTGCCCACAGGTGGCCTTCCTTCAGGAAAGTGTCCCTGCACAGTTGGCCAGATCCTTAGAACCAATCACTCAGCCACATCTAATAAGTCCACAGGTGTGTTTGGTCCACTTTCCAGTCATCTTCCCTTGGGCCAGAAACCACTGGAGTTTGCTATGCTTTTTTGGTCCCACTGCAGTCAGCTTAATGTACTCCTCTCCTCTGACACAGTGAGTGGCCCTCTGCCCTGCCCTAACTGGTCCAGCTGGCTGAGATCCTGATGTGCCCATACTTGGAGTGGCTTGTGTCTCACCAGCCCTGGGGTACAGCAAGATCTAAATGCCTCCCAAGACCAACTGCTGGCCAGAGACAGGGTCCTGGGCAGGGGCACGCCAAGGTCTGACCGTCCCCGGCTCTTTTGACCATGCCCAGAGGCCTTGACTTCCTGAAACTAGTCCTGCTCTGTCCTTTAACTGAAAGTGGCTCATGCCTGAACGCTTCCTTCCTGGACATCCCCAGCCCTCATTTCCCACTTGATCATCTCCTGTCCTGAAAATGCCAGGCATTGTCTGCCCAGGCTTGACTCCCCTGCCTGTCTCCTTCGCCCTTGTCTACTCTACCTTTCAGTTTTGTCCCAGTCACACATGCCTCCTGGTCACAGCTCTTTAGCTCCTAGTCTCACTGGGGGCTTGGTCAGAGGCCTCCTGCCTTACCTAACTCCCTCCCCAAACTCCAGAGTCAGGGAAGGCTACAAATTCTCCAGCTGAATGCCAGGGATTCCCATCATCTCCATGACCTCAGGTCATAAGTCACTCTGGTTCATGAGGAGAGCTGATGGCTCAGGAATGGTGGCAAAGGCTGGAGCCTCAGCCTGGCTCTGGGGGCAGGCTTCCAGCTATGTGGCTTTCTACCGGGGTGCTGGGGGAGGGACACAGGCATCTCACAGAAAGACTTGTCCTTCTGGCAGACAGCCTAAATGGTGAGTGGAAGTAGAAGCTCCCGGATCCTAGTGCGGGAAGATAGGGTAGGGTGGGAGACGCCTTGCTCAGCTAAAGGGAAGCCTCTGAGCTTCCATTTTCTGAACAGGTAGACTGAGATCCTCATACCTATTGTGCTGGAAATTTTCAAAGCCAAATATATCCAGGAGGCCGATGGCCCTTCGCACATTTTTGGGGTCCTGGGCTGGTGGTGTGAAGATGGCAGCATTGATCTTCTTGACAATCCAAAGGAAGAGATGACCATAGATGCCCTGGGGAGACAGCGGGTAGAGCCCTTGGGCTTTGAGGCACAGAGGAAGCTGCTCCTTTTCCAACTTTACTTGGAAAGGCTGTGACAGACCTACCGAGGGGTGTTACCTCTGCTTTCAAGGCAAGAAAAGGACACGAGGAAGGATGGAAATCCCTGTGACCCGCAGGCCACCCATCTTTGCTCTTTCCTGCTCTTCACCAGCAGGGTAGGAAGCAGCCCCTGTACCTTGACAAAGGCGTCCCTGCGGTCAGCAGCCTGGGCAATGTTCAGGGGCCTGGCGACCTCCTCCCCACGGATGAGGATGGTGTGCCTGGTCAGACAGTCCAGGAGGGGCTGGCGCTGCACCTGGCAAGGATGACAGGGTCACACCTGTGGAGCACGCCTGGACTGCCCCGCTCCTGCTGTGTCTTGCACAGCAGACACCAACACCCAGGATCTGATGGCAGTTAGTCCCTGTGACCAAGGCCAGGGGAAGGGATGCAGCCAGGGCCCTGGCAGTGCAGGCACAAACACTCAGGAAGCATAACTCAGCATAACTCAGCACGGTCCCTACGGTCCAGGAAAGGGGCTGGTGCAGGGCAGACTCTGAGGCTGCGACTTGGCCCAACTCAGGTCACCCCCACTGGAGGCTGCAGGTCTGGAGCACAGGAGTCTGATGGGTTGGGCCTTCCTATTCCTGGGCTCTCTCCCTAGAAGAGGAAGGCGGAGCCAGCAAAGCCCCAGCTTCCTGAGTATATGTTGGGTGTGAATGTGTCCCCAGAATTCCTGTGCTGGAAGCTTACTCCCCAAACTCCTAAGTTTGAAGATGGGGCTCAGGAAGGTGAGTCAGAAATGGGCTCATGGGTGACCAGGTTACTGGGTAGTCTAGGGAGTGGCTCTGCTGTGAAAGCAGCTGTTAGTGGGTAGGTGTGCAGCTCTGAGGCTCTCGTCAGACCAAGCAGATGCTGGCACCATGTCCTTGCATGTCCAGCCTCCAGAACTGTGAGCCACTATTCTCTGTGAGTACCGAGCATCAGGTACTCTGTTAGAGCAGCAGAAATGGACTAAAGTAATACCTTTGAACCGAAAGAACATTAACAGCAAAATGGGCCTGTGCTTTTGCTTCTGAGTTTATTAATCTCTGGAAGAACCATCCTTGGTGTTAGTTCTGGCTTAGTGTCCTCAGCGTCAGCCACCCAGAGCCTGTTGCCCTCACTCCCCATCAAGGTTCATTCTGCTCTCTGGAGGACAGGGAGGGCCGATGGCATGAGTTGGGCACTTGCTGGCACATGCCCCTCTCCCAGAACAGCCCAATTTATGGAAAAGTCCTGGGGACCAGGACACAGGGCAGGGATGTTCTGGTGGGTGTGGAGTCAGGTACACTAGTAGGAAGTGGAGGGATTCAATGGGGGAAGAGTGAGGGCTGAGTGTGGGAAGCACGAGAGAAAGAAGAAGAGGCCTCATTAAAGCTCCTGCTCTGCGCAGGGTTAATAGTTCACAGTGCTCTCTGGGGCACACAGGCCGAGCACCACCTAGAAGAGCAGGGAGGTGAGATGGGGCCTGGGAATGATGCTAAGGCCAGGGATCTATCAACTCAGGCCCCCTAGCGCTTCTCACAAAAACGGCTAAGTTGAGCACATGGTGCATGCCTGTAATCCTAGGAAGTTCAAGTGGGAAGATCACAAGTTCAAGCCCAGCCCGAGTAATTTAGTGCCCTGAAACTTTCAAAAGTATAAAGTCAAAATGGGCAGGGGAGATATCTCTGTGCAAAGACCTCAGAATTGCAGAAACAAGCGAGCAACCAAAAACCAAGAGGGAGTTAGCGATGTGATGCACTTTGCCTAGCTTTGGGTTACCTCCAGTGACCTCATCACGGCAAGGAAGGTGGGCGTTTCCATCACTTCAGAAGAGTCCAGGTTCTCAAAGATGGCAGCTAGAAAGAGAAGCAGTTTCCTAAGTGGGGCCCTGTTGGGGCAAGGCTGAGGCCTGTGACAGCCCCTAATCAACACCTCAGTAATGTCTATGCCTGCGGTAAGCCATGGCCTCTCCTTCCATGGACCTTCTCCTTGTGAATGTCCCCAGTGACAGCCACCACGAGCACCTTAGCTGTGAATGAGTGACACCAACCATGGCTTGCACCACCTTGTGAGCAGGTCAAGGGGACACTGGAGGACTCTCAGGCTTATTTGGGGAGGGAAGACTGAACCGGGAAGCACAGTAGGCACAGGCTGACAGGGCTAACTGGGGTCTATCATGCGAGAAGATGAGCCACCAGCTCTTGTCCACTATCGTGTCTATAGAAACTTGAGCATTCGCTTGTTCATTTAGTCAAATGGATATTTTCTGACCACTTCCAGTTTCTCTTCTTTGGGTCAGCATCCACTTAGGCATGCCAGGCTGGGGGTGCAGGTGTGGTTCATTTTTAAATTTAAAAAACTGGCTGGAGATTTAGCTCAGTGGCGTAAGTGCTTGCCTGGCAAGCACGAAGTCGTGAGTTCAGTCCCTGGGACTGCACAAAAAATTAAAAAAAATTTTTTTTTAAATTGTGAAATAAAACATCCAGATAAAAAAAGTGCCCTGCCAGGTATGGTGGTGCATGCTTGTAATCTTAGTATCTGGGAGGCTGAGGCAAGAAGATCAAGGAGTTTGAGGCCAGCCTGGGCTACAAAATGAGCTCAAGGTCAGCCCGAACTACGTAGTAAAACTTTGTTCAAAAAAAACAAAAAGTGCCTCAAACACAAAGATGTGCTGTAAAGAATACAGTCAATATCATGTAACAGTAAAGTCAAATGGACCCTGCCAATACCAAAAAGCCCTCTGCTGTCCCTTCTTGTGAAGACAGTGTTCCTTCCCCTAGAGGACACCATTTTTTTTCAACTTTTGTGGAAAAAACATAGTTCCCTTCCAGCACTTAGTTCCGGTGGTCAGTGTTAGGTTTCATGTGACCTCACTGCCGGCCTTCTGTGCCCAGGGCGCTTTCTCGAGACTGGGTTTCTGATACTCTTTCCCGTTCAGCGCCCCGCTGGGCAGCGTCCGCAGCAGTGCGGGTTTTGGTTGATGATGATGGATTGCCCTCACGCCCTTCACTTGGAGTCGGGACCCAGGTTCCTCTTTTCCCTGCCACCCAAAACAGTTTCCTAAAAAATCTGTCTTTTCCCCAGCGCTCTGTGAATGGGTGTCCAGAACAAGGCACGGTCTCTCCAAACTCTGCATCTGCTTCCCCTTTCTACTCCGGTGAACACTTCATTGCATCTTCTCACGGTATCCTTGAGTTTCCTCCCTTTGCCTTTCTATTTCTCTTCTTTTTGCCTCTCCCAAGTTACTTGTGACATTCCTGCTCCCCGCTGTTGAACCTACCCATTGAGTTCCTAATGTTTTTAATGTTAGCATTGCTGCTTGGTTTCTTTTAAAACATGCAGTGCCACTTTTTGGAGTTCTGAATTCTCTGTCCACATTTTCCAGCATGGCTTTCTCTTTTCTTTCTTTTTCTAGCAAGCAGAGCTACTCTGTGACCTGTGTCCAGTGATTCCGATACCTGAAATTTTTGTAGACCTATTACTATTGCTTAAAATTCCTGCTGGCTTTTGCTCATGGTACCTTATCTCCCTGTTCCTATTTAATTTTGGCTGCATGCAAGATGTTGCGCTTGAAAAATTATGAGGAGGAATCATTAAGGGCCTAGGTTGCTGCTGCTTTCCTTGTGATTGCTCATAAATTCCATCGGGTGCTTGGTGTTCTCACAGGCCAGGGCACCCGAATTCCCAAATCACTCTGATGTTCACACACAGGTTTGCTAGTTTGTGCATGGGTTTGTTTATGCTTAACATGAAGGCATAGCCTTTTGGAGTCCCAGCAAAAAAGAGAGAATGACTGACCACAATCTCTACCTTTGAGGGGCTTAAGCTTTGGTATCTCCCCTTGCCCTGTGGCCTCCAAATCATAACTTCATTTTTCCCAGGATCAAGTCGCACAGGACCCTTGGGCCAGTGTGCCCCCCGAGACGTTCCCCCCACATCCCAATCCCCTGGTTTCTTCTCCCTGGAGGTAGCAGGGGTGGGAGCAGGGGCAGCATTACCTATAAACTCTATGTTCCCGAGGTGGAGAATGGCGGCCAGAAGCTTGCTGATATCCCAGCTCTCCGAGTCAGAGAACTGGAGGATCTTCATGGCTGAGCGGATGTGAGCGTAGTCCTTGGAGTCACTGAGGCCCTCACAGGATGTACAGTTTCCCTGAGATACAGAGTGCTTCAGTGAATAGGTTCACCCTGGTCCTCCTATCCTCCCAGAGCCAGCAAGGCTGAGACACCAAGCAAGGTTGGAAACTCAGCCTGAGGCCCCTGAGAAGTCACACTTCACATGCTCAGGTAGACTTCGAAAGACCACATCCAGGGGCAAGCTCGGAACAAGGAGTCCTTCCAAGTCAGAACCAGGATGCCATGACACAGAGTGCCTGGGCCACCAGCACCAGCCCTTGGGCACTGTATGACCTCAAACAAGTTGTTCCTTTTTCAGAGCCTCTATCCGTCTTCTGATTGTGCTCCAACCCACCTTGCCTGTTGCCAGGGAATGCTGTGGGCTTGCTCCTCTGACAAACACTTCCCAAAGCTCACCACAGACTGGGTCCTGGGCTCTACACTGGAACTGAGTCACGGTGAGCCCAGACCTGCTCTAGGAACTGTGCATCCAAGAGGAGCCAGTAAGTGTTCTGACGGTGACAGGTGCCCCAGCTGGCCCTGCATGCTAACCCTCAGAGCCACATGAAACAGAGTGTGGACCATGGAGGGAGAAAGAGTACAAGGCAGAGGCAGACGCTGTGCCCAAGGTGCTGGGGTTGGAATTGGGAGGCAGTGGTGCCGGAGGGAGGGGTCTTTCTTGGGAGGAACCAAGAGCTTGGACTCCTGGCAAATAACTGAACTGCAGACACACAGCTGTGGCAGCTGCCCTGTGGCTGTGTGAATAGCAACCGGGCAGCCCTCAGGGATATACTGCCATGGTCCAGGCAAGTGCTGGGGAAGGCTTGGGGCAGTGACCACAGGACAGACCTAAAGGTGGGACTCATCTACTTCCCTGTGAGCCACTGAGTCACACTCCCGTGGGCTGCCTGTGTCACACTCCCATGGGCTTGCTTTCTGGCTCTACTGTGGCCTCAAGGCACCAGCCAGGATGGATGCAGAAGGCAAATAATGACTGTCTGAGACCCAACTCCCAGCAGCCCTCTGTCAGTCCAGAGGGGGCCAAAGGAAGGCTAGTGGTGTTGGGACAACCTGGTGACCTTAGCACAAGGGAGGGAGGAGACTCCTGGTAGACACAAAGTGAGGGCAGACCCTGAAGGAGCTGGAGCAGTAGGGAAAGGTGGACCCCACCCCTGCCTCAGCAAAAGTCAGGAATGTCAGAGCAAGCCTCTCAGTTCACAACTGAGGAGTACTGGGCTGGGGTGCCTCACCATGGTCAGGTAGTGGTACTCAGAGGGTGTGCCTAGGTCCAGCAGCTTCTTCTCCTCCCCGCTCATGCCCATGAGCATGCAGTAGAAGATGTGGTAGTTGCGCTCGTCTGGGGCCTGTGAGGGGGGGTGTCCAAGACTCATAAGCCAACACCCCAAAGGCCCCTAGGCCCAGACTGTCCTGGCTTCACCTCTGGGTGTGGCTCTGGCGTTAACCTGAGGGCTTGCCGGCCTGGCCACTGTCCTCATTCTGGGTAGGGTCACTCCCTTCCCTGTCCTCCCTGCATCTTGGCTACTCATCCCAGCACTGAAACTGCCCAGAGCCACACAGAGCTCTCTGACTCATGAAGCCATGGGCCTTGCTGTGCGTTGCGGCCTGGTGAAGATCTGACAGCCATGGGTTTACAGGGGCTGTCTGACGCTTTGTGTTTTAAGCAGCACTCACAGTAAGCAAGAAGTGTACTGCTAATCTACATCCTCATCCCTCTTTTATATTTATTTATTTATTTATTTATTTATTTATTTATTTATGTTGAGGCACAGTCTCACTAAATTGCCCATGCTGGCCTGACACATGTGGAGATCCTCCTGCCTCAGCATTCTAAGTGTCGGGATCACCACCTGCACCACCACCACCACACCCTGCTCAACTTCCTTTCTCTTCCTCTGTTTTTTGATGATTCCCTATTCATCAACATACTCTCCTTTTTATTTCTGCTCAACATTCCACAATTAATACACCTTAGTGTGTATGTGCTTGTGTGTACGTGCGTGTGTATGTTTCTGGAGATTGAGCCCAGAACATTTGTTCTACCACTGAGCTGTATCCCTAGTCCATGCCATAATTTTCTAATCTTTTTCTTCCCATGAATAAGGTTTGTTTGTAATCTGCTTAGGGGTTTCCCATCCATTCTGAGCACCGCTTTGAGTGATAAATTCTACCAGTTCACCAATCCCTGGGTGGACAAATGTGGGCCTCTGGGAAGGACAAGTTCCAGTGTCAGAGACTGCCACACACAGTCCTGTGACCTTGGGCATGCCCTTGTCCACTAGGGAGGAGGAGACCTTGCGCTCAGGCGGGCCTCGGAGGTCAAATGAGCACTGCCTGGTGTCAGGTGGGTAGGATAATCCAATGGGAGCTCCCTTCTCCCAGCTGCTGGGCCTGGAAGTGCCACCCTCACAAACAGTCCATCCCACTGTTGACTCTTCTGCCTGGCTGCATGTGTATAAGCCTGCATGCCCCAGTGTTAGGGGCTGCACCGTCATGTGAGAACAATCCTCTCCATGCTATGGAACGGTGAGGCAGGGCCTTACCTGCCGGCACACCCGGGACTTCTCCAGGAGGAACTGCTCGATCCGGGCGCCCTCGATCACCCCGCTGGAGTTGATGTAGATGTCGATGTATTTCCCAAAGCGGCTTGAGTTGTCATTGTGTATTGTCTTGGCATTTCCAAAGGCTGAGAGTGAGCAGGCAACACACAAATAACAGAAAGGAGAAAACTTCTTTTGAGGGGTTATTTGGTAGGTCCCATAGAGATGGGGGTGAGCCCAGAACAAAAGCATGGGAAGGGTTATCCCTGGACATCCAAGACACCTGGGGGCACACTGAAAAGAAGGGTGCGTGCCTGGGAGCTTGGAAATCAGCAGGTGTAGAAGGACAAGGACAGCAATGTGAGGTAGACAGAGCTGGTTAGTGGCAGAGGGTGGGTGGCACCACGCCCTGAATACAAGAACTGCGAGAAACCATGGCCCTGCCTTTTCCATCAAAGGATATGGATAGGCGCGCCTCCATCTTAAAGTCTAGTCCACCTTAGGGTGCTCTGAAAAGTCTACTCAGCTTGGATTCTGGGAGCAACACTGAGCACAAAAGATAATACACAGCAGCCAGAGACTTTCCAGCTCCTGTCCCACTGTCTCCTCCATCAGCAGCCCTGCCAGCAGCTGTTCAGGCCCTCCCATCAGGCCACTTGAACGGCCAATCCAGACAGATTTGACCCTCCAAACTGGTCGGTGACCAGGTCAGCTCTTTCTGTGATAGGAAATAAAAGAAGCCGCTGCTGCAGCTCTGTGTATCTGCTGCCTCCTGCTAACAGTGTGCTCTTACCCCTTTAAGAAGAGTGACCACTTACCTTCCAAGATGGGGTTGGCCTCTAGGACCTGCTGTTCGATCCACGAGTGCTGGCCACTGACAGTGGCCAGGAACTGCAGGATGAGCTTGGTGCTCTCTGTCTTTCCAGCCCCTGACTCACCGCTGCCAAGAGGACATGCAGGGACATGAGTTCATGGAAAAGCCACATCTTTCAACTCTCCTGAAAACCCACCCCTGACCTGCTTTCTGGGCCAATCTAACAAGAATACTCTTTCCCCGTGCAAAGTCCCACACCATTTGCCCCGAGGTCTAGTGTAGTTCTCAGATTGTTCATGATGTGCAGGTTATTATATGTTTTTCTTTTCTTCTCTGCCTGGCTGCAAGACCCTTGGCATAGTAGGATCTGCAACATACGAGGGATTTAATGCTCTATAAATACAAATGAATGAATAAGATGACTCAGTGTCTTCTCATGAATATGTGGTCCACAGGCAACAGCATCTGTCCCCTGAAAGAAAGGCAGACGCCAAGACTCTATCCAGCACTCTTCTGAATCAGTGTCTGCAATTTTTCAAGACTTCCAAGAATAATGCCTTCATGGTAAAGTTTGAAAAATGAACTCCCACAATCATGTTACCCTACTTCGACTTCTGGTCAGTTTTGTTTTTCTTCTTGTACTGTTGTTATGGCTTGTGTCTGGATGTCATCCTCAAAGCCTCAGGTAATCATGGGGGCAGTCATCTAGAGGTTGTGATTGATTCATTGTCTAGTTGGGATTATGGGTGTGAGTGCTACACTCACCCTGGGACAGGTAGCCTGCATACTATATGAAGGAAGGAAAGAGGCTTGCACTTTCTCTCCTTCCCTTTTAGCTCTTGATGCTTTTGTTGTCTTCTGTGACTGTAAACTATTGCCCCATAACATGCTGCCCTGCCTTGAAGCCAGCTGATTAGGAATTGAAACCTCCACAAACTCTGAGCTAAATTAACTCTTCCTTCCTTAATTCTGGGTGTTGGGTATTTTGTCTCAGCAAGGAGAGAAAAGTAACCAAGACAACTATTTTGAAACAAATCCTAGACAAACACTGTTTCCTCTAATAATATTACCTTTTGAAAAAGTCATGATCAAAATGTCCATAATTGCTATGGCAGTAAAGTAGAGTTAGACCAACAAATCTGTGCTGGGAGTCACAGGCTCCCATGAGCATTTGCTGCATGCAGGTGATTTTACAAACATGGGCTTATTAAGTAATCCTCCAATGTAGACTAACCATAGAGAGAAGAAAGCTTACAAGGTCCTGCCATAGCCTTGGGGAAGCCAGGTGCTCAGACAGGAAATTAAAGACTGCTTTTGCTAAAAAGCACGAACTATTGAGTTAGGCTTGGAGATCTCCTTTGGGTCACTAAAAGCAGGAAAAATTTGGAACATTCATTTTGTATCTGTCTCTTTATTACCTGCAACTTTGGGTCAGAACCCTTCTCAGTTGTGCACATAGGTATGCCAATCATTTAAGGAGTATCTAAAAACTGGCAATGCAAAGTTTATTAGCTTTAAATTTACTTAACTTAATGTATCAACTGCATGATTGAAGACACCAGGAATAACTAAAGCAGTCTCAGAATTACAGGGGCATTCAGTTGCCAGCTTCTACAGAGTCCTGTTCCAGACCTCCTTGAGTGGGGCCTAGAAGTCTCCAGTCACTGTGCTAAAGTTGAAATCTCCCTGAATTCACAGAAAAGCAGATCCATGCAGACAGATCACCTCGGAGTGAAATATCCCTTAAGTGGAACCAACTACCTCATAACAAATGGAGGCTGCTTAAATGGAGTGCTGTCATCTCATGGGAACTTCATTGTCTCTCAAGTGATAAAGACTCTCCGGTGCCAAATCACAGAGCCAGAATTGTAATAAAGACCAACCAGAGACTCTGGGAAGATGAGAGAGCTATAAAAAGCAACAAATCAGCCTCTCCAATATTTGGAATACAGACACTGGAAAATAAGATTTTTCAGGAAGGAAAGGAGAGAGACAGATCCTTGGGACCCAGAAAGGACTTGAAAGGAAAATGGATCCCAAGAGAGACACTGAAGGGACATACCACAATGCAGCAAAAGAAGGGGCGACCTGCGCCTTCTGGCTGGAGGCATGGGAAAGGAAATCAACTCTGCAGAGACACAGTGAAAGCAGATGGCTGTAGGGTCCTTCAGGGAGAAACACATCAGTGGAACAAAGATGGGGATGCTATCTATGTGCCACAATGGCTGGTGAGTGCCTCTGGCCCCATGTCTCCTGGACAGTGCCTGGTCAGACACCACTCTTGGGAAAGGCCAATTTAGCCCAGGACTCAGAACAGCCTTGGTCAGCTTCATTTCAGGGCTCCCAGTGTTAAACTGTCATTGTAACTGAGATACACACAGGGTCAGGGAGCCATAGGCAGGCCGGCCAGTGATACTCAGAGGGTTATAAACTAGATGACTCAGGCCCCAGCCCCATAATCAGAATCGTTTCAGCCTCAACTTCTGTGGATTTGAAAGTCCCAGAACCAATACCATGTCCTAGTCTTACTGCCAGGTTACTGGAATTATCCACACCCCACCCTAATACTACCATAAATTTGCTAGGATTATCCAGCACCCACTCTAATCTTACTGCAGGTTTTCTAGGATTATCCAGCATGACTCTGAATGCCTCCATTTGTCTTCCAGCTAGTACAGAGTCATTGCTTGAATTGGCCACTGCCACAGAATTATAGATCCTAGAAGATGACCACAAGCTTGAAATCACAGAGATATTTCTTCTTTTCTTTTTTCTCCTCCTCCTCCTCCTGCTCTTTTTCCTCCTCCTCCTCTTGTTCTTTTCCCTTTGCTTTTGGTTTTTTGTTGTTATTTGTTTCTATTGGATTTTTTTCTATTTGTTTTTGTTTCTTTGGAAGGGTGAACACTGTAGTGCTTTTGTCCTGTTTTGACTCTGTTTTTGTTTTTTCATTCTTTCCTTTCCTTCTGTCTTCTTCACCAGTTTCTTGAAACTTGGATAATTTTCCTCTATTCTGCAGTCTTATTTCTAATCCCGCCCCCCCCCCTTTTTTTGCGGTACTGGGGATTGAACTCATGATCTTGAGCTTGCCAGGTAGGCGCCTATGCCGCTGAGCTAAATCCCTGGACCATCTAATCTCTTTTTCTTCTTTAATTTTTCCATTTTTTACTTTTCTCCCCTTAGGGCAAAATTGCCCTACTGAGTGGATGTTTACTGCATATAAACTTCTGACTTGTCTTAGACTGTGTTATATAACTATAAATCTTGCTCATATGATTAAAAGTGGAAAATTATTAGTTATCACAGTTTGTCATTTTCTAGTCTGTGTTTGATGCTATTTGTTATTGCTGATTGTGCTACTTTAGCCAAGGTGATATAGTTGATCTTCCTTGTATGCCAACACATAGATTGTCTGGGGGACATAAACAATACTACAGTCCACTACCAAGGAATTGGGTGCTAGGCCAAACAGGCCAAAACCTTTTATCCCTAATAAATACAAGAGGTAGGATTCAGGAACAGACAAAAGCCAAGATCCAGCAAGGGCCTCGGTGACAGTGGTGGCCTAGAAGACATCTCTGAAAAGTAATCATTTTCTAAATAGGTCTTGGTACTAGTAATAAAGCTAGCCACCATAAGCAATTTAGAAGCATCAATGCAGAAAACAAATAGAAAAAGAAAGAAAGAAAGAAAGAAAGAAAGCAAATGAGAAAACATGGACGCAAGACCCGAACTCAGACCTCCAACTCTGAAGGCAAATCCAGGTGGTACTGAGATGGAAGAAATCAAAACCCAAGCATGAAATCTCTGAAGTGGTAGCAGTGGAAATATCAAAACAGATAAATGATTCTGTAGGGGGAAAGAACCCAGAAATAATTATACAGATAACTAAAGGGATGATAACCACAATGAAGGACACGATTAGTAAATCTAGCCTAGATTCCAGTTTTAAAAAAGAGCTTTGAAAATAACTTTGGAAAGTGATGAAAACCTGAATGCTCAACAAAGCAAAGAAGTAGATTCTATACAACAGATTCAAACAGGAAGCAGGAGATTAAAAAGTTCTATGGAAAGTATACATAGCAGAATTAACCATTGTTAAAATAGAATATCAGATCCAGAAGACACAGTTGTGATTGGTTATCATCAAATGAAAGATTTCTTAAAAATGACAACCATCCATGAAAAATCAAAATCAACCCAACAGGTGCTAGATGATGCAAAAAAGAATAAAATAAGATCAACTGGAATCAATGAAAAATGAGAAGATAGCACAAAGGACATAAAAATCCTGTTCACAGAAGTAATAGCAGAAAATTTCCCAAGCATAGAAAAGGAATTTGATATATAGATAATGCATATAGAACTCTAACAAAAACTACACTAAGGAATATAACAGTCAAGATTCCAGAAATTCAAAACAAGAATAGCATATTAAAAGCTGTTAAAGAAACAAATCACCTCTAAAGGAAAACCCATCAGAATCACAGCTGACTTCTTAACACAAGCCCTCAAGTCAAGGAGAATTTGGAATGAAGTATTTCAAGCCCTAAAATGCCCTCCGATTCAGATTGATGTGCTCCACAAAGTTACCTTTCAAAATCAGTGAAGGGACCTCTGGAAAGATGGTAGAGCAGTAAGCAGCAGAGAAAACAGCCTCTCTGAGAGTCACTGTCCAGACACTGGATACAGCAATGTGAGGAAGACAGGAAGGAAGGAAGTGGGTCCCCTAGGCCCAGGAAGAATCTGAAGTGTGAACTGAAGCCCACAGAGCAGAAAAAGAAAACCTTCAACAAAGAAGAAGGAGGTAGATAGCAGTGCCTTTGCCTGGAGCTGGAGCCACTGTGCAAGAGGAGCTGTTGGAAAATGGGGATGCAGGGCCTCGGTGACAGTGGTGGCTGGGGACCCCAGAGGTCTCTGCAAGAGATGCTGCAGTGGAGGGGAGTAGCAGACCTGGAGGACTGCACTGGCTAATGGTGAGTGTAGCGGACTCAGTCCTCCCATGGAAGGGAGCGATTGGCCAAGAGCCATTTTGGAGTTGGGCCCAATAAAGCCTGGAACCAGAGTTGCTGCCAGCTTCCTCTTCCTCCAACAGCTCCTAGCTGGGCACAAACCCATGGAAATTGCTT